TAATTTAAAATTGTCAAGTTACTATGAAATGACAAATCTCTTTCTGAATTATATTTTCAACATTTCATCCTTGAACAGAAATTAACCAGTTCATTGAGAAAGCTACACGCACAACCTGCAGTCTCGTGACTCACGGCAGTCTTATTCTTCCTATAAGCGTCATTTCCTTTCATTCACTTCCTCACATTTTTTTTTCTTTTCATTTGCTATGTCTCACTATGAACCTATAAACGTTACCTATAATGAGCCTCTAGATTAATCTCACAATTATTTATTTTTACAATTAACAGAATTTTTATGAACAGAAATATTTACCGCCCTACATTTTTATATACCCGATCAAATTTTTATTTAGGGCAAAAATTTTGAGTAACTAAATATTTATTTAGTAATTTTGTCATTTCTATTTGAATTGAAATCAATTTTTTTTTGTAACCAAATTTTTATTTAAGATAATTAGGATAAATTTCTATTTAATATAAATAGAATAAAATTTAGGGTTCAAATGAAAAAGAATTTTTACATCTAACTGATTGTTTACCAAAATGATATTATTACTAATAATATCGTAGGTAGAAAAATATTACGTTATCTAAATTTTTAATTCAGCATTCTTTTTTTAATGAAAATTCTCCCAAATAAAAATTTATTAAAAACGAAGTTTTATTGAATAAAAATTGTATTAAATACAATTTCTCGTATAAGGAAAATTTCGTTATATAGAAAATTTTCATTAAATGAAAATTGGATTATATTGAAACTCTACTGAATAAAAATTTGACGAAGAGAAAAAAATACTGTTTAGTAGAAATTTGTCTGAATGAAAATTTGGTTGAATAAAAATTCTGTTGAACGAAAATTTTGTTAAATGAAAATTCAATTAAATGGAAATTCTGTTAAATAAAAATTTGATTAAATGAAAAAATGAGTCAAATGAAAAATTTAACTCTACGAAAATTTTGTTTCATAAAAACAGTTACAAATCATTCACCCAGGGAAATTTTTTATTTAAACCGAATTTAATTTATTTGACTAAATAAAAGTACGATTCAATAATTCTTTATATGTGACCTGGTCTATGAAAAGGGACCTTACGTGTCAAAAAATCATTTTTTACTTTTTTGTTGATTCGGATAGGGTTTAAAACGCTCTTTAAGATGGTGAAAACCAAAAAGTCATAAGTTGATTAGAAATGTTTTAAAAAATTTTTTAAAGTCAGAAGAAACAAGAGTAAAAATACGAAAAAACTGATTTTTTTGTTATTATACAAATTAAAATAACGAAGACGATAATTTTTTATTATTTTGAAAATTTGACAGTTTCTTTGACAACTGTCAACATTTAAAATTCAAATTTTATATCTTATTCGTAATTAGCGACCTCAAAAAACTTCTTTATAAAAAACGATCACTTTTTAGAGAAGTTGACAGCTGTCAACTGTAAAATTGTCAATTTAACATCATATTCGTAATCAGTGGCCTCGAAAACCCTTACAAACATGTGTCACTTATTTATACTTATTGTTGCTATTTAGAAAACTTAGATTATTTTTCCCATGTTTGGGAAGTTTGTTATTAATTTATATAAACATTGCTTGTATGTTTTTATTTTGATACTGTGATCCACGGTGAAGAAAATAAGCCTGACTTGATTAAAAAATATTAATATTTAAAAAAGTTACAAGGGTTTTTCTAAGTTAAACTTTAACTGCTGTTTTCTCGAAAACTTGTTTTCGCACGTAAGGTCCCTTTTCACTGTCCAGGTCACATATTCACTTATTTATTTTTGCACTTTAATTTCACTTTTTTTTAACCCCTTCTTATTTTTTGAAATCGTGAAACATTTTTTTAGAATATTTTACGTTTTCTTGAAATTCTGAAATATTTTTTTCATTATTACATTCACTTTTAGAAAATGAAAAATATTTGTCGAAAAAGATTTGAAATCACACACTTGAAAGGAAATGATTTTACCACTTTTGTCTCTCTTTTTTGTACCTCATCAATTTTTTGATATTATCAACTAAACTACGCAGTAAAACTGAACAGTTTTTCGTGTACATAAAGTGTGTATCATTCAAGTTCCTGTTCATTTTCTTCGATTATTGTCACAGTCTTGGAATCATGAGTTCATCGTATTGTAAATACCCGCACACATCACGATATTTTATTTCATTCACAATAAGATTGCTGCGCGCTATATCAACCGTATCCAATCATTCTCATTTTTAAATAATATAATATTTTATTTTAAAAAGAATTTCAAATTTTTAACTCAACGAAAATCTATTTTTATTTTTAAAAAACTAGTACTTTTTCAATGATTAAAAAATGACAAATTTAGTAAATTTGTAAACGGAATATTTTTTTGAAGAAATATTATAATGGCGAATTTATTTGCTGACCTAATTATAAAAAAAAGTCCAAGGTGAAATATTACTTTCAATTAAGAATCTTATCTAAGATAAGAAATAAATGAAGTAATCCGTAAAATAAACCAAAATAAAAAATAAGGTGTGAAGAAAAATATTTTCACGAGGAAAAAAAGATGAGAGAGAGAGATAGAGAGAAAAAAAAATGTCACAACTTTTGATTGGGGCAGTTTTAAAAACTCGTAAATCTAATTTGGTTGCTCTAGATGATCCAGGAGATTTGTTAATTATTGTTCTGGTCTGAAAATTTCAAACGACGTCATTAAATGTCAAGGAAGAAGTGCTCAGCTCATCGGAGCGTAATTTGTAATTACTCTACTGAAACTCCTTGAATGTCGCGTGGCGCATTAATTTATTAACGACGTTTTGCAACAAAAGTATTAACAAGACTCGGACTTGTTAATGAGATGCTGATACAATTTTTTTTTCCTCAAAAATCATTTCAAATTTCTCTCAACTTGTGATTCACTTCTTTTCAAATAGTCTCGCGTTTATAGAAAATAATATTAATATAAATAATAATTCAAAAAATATTGATAACACAGAAAAATTTAATTTAATTTAATTTATAATTAAATTAGAAATATAATTAAATATATAAATAAAATTCAAAGAAATGTCAACTTTAGATAAAATTGTTAATAAATAAATAAATAAAAAATTTTGTAACAATTTAAACAAAAGAATAAGCTAATTGTATAATCGAGATTGAAAAATTTCCATAATGGCGTAAATTCTTTAGAAAACAAATATCAAAAATAAATTTAATTTATAAATGGGTACTATAAAAATTTTGTGTTATAAAAAATTAGGTAATCGACATTTTTTATTTGCTGATCGAAACTAATCTTAAATAGAGTATTGTAGACTCATTTTTCTTATGTAATTGTTCATATTGCTGGTTTAATACCAGTTATGTCTTGTATACTAAAACCTCTTGGATCGCTCTTGAAAAGTTACATTACATAAGAAAAAAATTGAAATTCGTTTTCCAAAGTGAAATTTAAACATTTGTTTAATGTCTCCTTTGCATTTTTTATCCTGGAAAAATTCTTTTCTTTTCTTCTCTTTTTTAAGTGAGTTCGATTTTTTTAAGTGCGAGAATATGTTTTCAATATTTTATTTAAAATTTAATCCAATTAAAAGAAAAGTTTATTTTTTATTCGTTCAAATTAAAAAAATTATTATTGAAAAAGAAAATTTTAAGTCAAATTAGAAAAACTGATAATTAAATGAATTTAAAAATAAATAGTTAAATTAACATTTAATTAAAAAACGTGATTCTTCAAAAGGAATTTCAGTGAAGTTGACGATGATTACAAGAAAGAAAAAGGAATTTTAAACATTTTTTGATTTGAGTAGAAAAAAAAATATATACATATTAAAATTGTAATGACTTGACATTTAAGTATGGGCTTTAATAGAAGTCATAAAAGACTTGTTTTTTTTTCGTTTCTCGTTGAGTCGGGGACTAAGTACCCTCGGCTTGTTCTGTCGTCGGCAAGGGTTCTTTTTTTTCTTTTTTTTTCCTTTCTTTTTAAAGAAAGTACGTGTCTAACCAAGTAAAGTACGAGGGTTGGCCTACGACGATAGTTAATTCTGTACCTTTAGTTTCTACAACAACGAGAGTAGAAAGAAAAATCAAGTGTTCTTTTGAGGAATCATATATAACCTCAAGCACAAGGGAAAAATTCGAAAAAAAAATTTTCAAACCAATTTCAATCTTTTGCTAAATATTAATTTATTTTCTAAATGAATTTTTTAAATAATAGTAATAATAATAATAATAATAATAATAATTTTATTCAGTTTTTACTTTTTTTTAACCATTCTTTTGGAGTATATTTTTATATTCCGCTTTTAAATTTACGATGTATTCAATTTTTGTTTATATAGTTTGAAATTTTTCGATTACAAGCATCTTTGGCATCTTTTCAAATGTACAATAAATTGCGTACCTTAGAATAATTGTGTCATCAGCAGGAAATATTGATAAACGTCAGAGATTCGTCTCCTTAAAATACAGCTAATTCCCGGTACTCTGAAAAAAAATTAAATTTCTAGTTATTCTTTTCGTTAATTTGATATTGAAATTCAAAAAATTGTATTTTTTTGGTAAATTATAATTAGGAACTTTTTTCAAATTAAAAGTTAGTTATTAAATTATGTAATTTTCAAATTGATTGAAAATTAAATTAAAAAACTAGGTTCTCCAATTTAAGTTTCCTTGAATTTGCTGAAAAGTGTCATTCATGTGTATGTTCTAGAAAACTTGATATTCCAATAAATGATAATGCTCCTCTCAGGAAACGAGAATATCGATCGTTATATTTCATCCTCCGTTTGCTATCTCAAAATATATTATAAAATTTTTATCTGGGGAAATGATATTATGTAAAAAACATAATTTTTAATACTTTTACATTCGAAAATGTAAAAAAGTGTTTAAATCGTGAAGGGCACTTAATTTTTTTAACTTAAAAATTCTGAATGAAATAAAAATTTTATTTTATTTTGAAAAATGATTAAGAGAAAAATTGAATTTACAATTGAAAAATTTGTGTTTCAGCTGACACAATGTCCGTGGACAAAGAAGAATTGGTGCAGCGCGCGAAGCTTGCCGAACAGGCAGAGAGGTACGATGACATGGCAGCGGCAATGAAGGCCGTCACCGAGACGGGAGTCGAATTATCAAATGAGGAAAGGAACTTGCTCTCGGTCGCATACAAGAACGTCGTCGGAGCGAGGCGTAGCTCGTGGCGAGTAATCTCATCAATTGAGCAAAAGACCGAAGGCTCCGAACGTAAACAGCAGATGGCTAAGGAATATCGGGAAAAAGTCGAAAAGGAACTCCGCGAGATCTGCTACGATGTTCTGGTAAGAAAAACGAAACCCCTTTCCATTAAAATTCAGAAATTATTTTCATTTTTTATTTTAATGTTCTATTTTAATATTTCCCATTAGAATTGCAAACTAATTTCATTCCTCAGTTCTCTACATGATAATTAGTTGGAAATGTACTTGGAAGTTTAGAGATGCGCGAAGGAGAGAGAGAGAGAGTGAGAGAGAATTTTGTTGGCCAGAGTCGATATAGAGTTGGAAAAGCAACTGGAAATGAAATAACTTTACAAAACGGAATGGAGAGAACAAAAGGTGTGCCTGTGCCGACTATTTGCACAATTGCATTCCGAGGAATGATGAAACTAGAAATAACAATATCGAGGCTTCTTGCGCTCGCGAGGAAAAGAAGAATTCTCTCGATCGAGAGCGAGAGCGAGAGAATGGGAGAAAGAGACAATATTCGAAAACTATTTCTTATCGTAATAGGGGAATAATCGTAAATATGAATTAAATTTATCGGGGAAAAAGTTTAGAGCTGAATAGAAAGTTAGAACTCATTTTGATAAGTCAGCGAAATTTTTATTAAATTCGCTTTTTAGTTTATCACTTTCTAGTTTATCAATTGTTTAATTTGCCAAATTTTTACCAAACATTTTATGTAATTTGTATTTTCTATTTGAATTTTTACAATGTAAATTAATTTTCATTTGGCTAAAATTTTATTTATCGAAATTGTATTTAACAGAATTTTTAAATAGGCGAATTTTTAAAAAGCCGAGTTTTCAAATAACCGAATTTTTAAATAGCAGAATTTTTAATTGACTGAATTTTATCATAACTGAACTTTTGTTTGACCTAATTTTTACTATACTGAATTTTTCTCTAACTGAATTTCTATTTATCAAAATTTCGTTTAACAGAATTTTCATTCAACAGAATTCAAATTTACTTCAAAGCTTTATTTAAAAAATATTTTCATTTAACAGAATTGAATTGAATTTCAAATTTTTATTTAAAGAAAAAAGAATTTTATTTAACAGAATTAAAATTTAATTCAAATTGTCATTTAGCAGAAAGTTATTTAATTTAATTTTTACTTAAAAATTTCATTTGGAAAAATTTCTGCTAATCGTTCCTACTAAATAGAATTTTAGCAAATTTGACATTTTCTTTAACACGATTTTTCTAAGAGAATTTTTATTTAACAAAAGTTGTGTTTAATGGAAAGTTCAAGTGATAAATTCAAAGTTATAAACTTGTTCGATTAAGTAAAAAATCAGATAAATTGAAACTCCATTGTAAAAGTTTAGTTAAGTAGAAAAATTCAATTAATTAGAAATTTGAATTAATGAAAAGTCCGTTAAATGAAAATTCGTCTAAATAAAAAATTTGATTGTACAAAAACTGGTAATAAAAAATTTCAAAAAAATTTCAAAACTAGAGAAAAATAAAAAAATTAAGTAAAAACTCAAATGTAAAGTCTGCTGAACTAAAATTCGACTAAAAAAAAGTTTGATTAAATGGAGATTTAATCTCTCGATAGAGATAATAGAAAATGAGAGAGAGAGAGAGAGAAAATTTCTTTTGAAACTTGAATATATTGATTTCTTTTTTAAGGTCGAGAGGAAAATGAGCATTTCTGATAAAAGATGAGTGCTAGCAGATAAAGAAGTCCTTTTTATATACATATAGCCGTGCATAATGTATTTGCCACTTTCTCATGACACTGACATTAAAAGTGACGCTCGACCTTCGTGTCTTTCCAAGAGAGATTTGCGATCAGTGTGCCACGTGGTTTTAAAATGTCTTTAAAACTTGCTCTTCAACCATTGTTTGGCTTCTTTACACTCGTACAAGAAAATAACGTAATTCCAAAAGGGTACAACAAGAGTTGAGGAGAGGTCAGGTCTATTCATAATTAGACCATCATTCATGAATTCCATCGTCTCGAACATTTAATCAGTCACGTTCTGCAAAATTCACACTAAATTAGACAGAGTTATGAAAGTAGAACTCTTTCCCTAATTGCACGTTCATTTTAGATTCTTGCTTTTTTAATATATTCTATAACAATGCTCTCTGGTTTCTTATAAGAAAAATAGTTTTCAAAAAAATCTCCCCTTGAAAATTGTTTTCTTTAAATACCTAGTAAAATATTTACTAATTTTGAAACAACAAATTTGAAAATTAAACTAAATTTATTAACTTAAATATTAAATTACTTAAAATTCTCTTCATTTAAGTAAAAAAAAAGATGTCAAGAACTTGAGTAAAAATATATGAAAAATATTTAAAAATTAATAATCTATTGAATAAATGCAAAATTATCTCTTGTAATTAATAAAAAAAAATTTCCTTCTAGAACACGGCTATTTTTTTCTATAAATAAATACCTTGAAAGCATTGAACTTTGTATAACTCGGTAAAGTTTCTAAAGTGCTTCGTTCCGTAAACGTGTATGATAGACGTCTTTGAAAGTTTTAAGAAAATCACAAAGGCGATTAGGTAACGAATCATTAACCCCAGGAAGAGAATGTCAACAGCAAAATGACTGTATTGTAAAATATGTTTTTTTTTTTCTTAAAAAAAAAGACAATTAACAAACACTTTTGATGAACTATTTCCTTCTTTAACAATAAAGGACCATAAAGTTGAGCTAAACAATAATAAGGCATTCAATTGTTCGCAATTCTTTACTATTTGACATTTTGCTTACATTGAGAAGAATGGGAAATTATCATTTAAGTGATAATTGTTACTCAATAATTGATCATTTAAAAATTGAAATAATTATTCCTCAACAATTTAAATTGCAATAATTCTTTTTTATTATTATTTATAATTATAATATTTATTAATATTATTATAATTGAGACTAAATAATTATTTACTACTATTAAATTGCTTAAGTATAATAAAAACGATAATTATCGTTGAAATAATAATTATTTTCATTTAATAATAATCACTTAAAGGGAAATAAATTTTAATTGAACATATTAACTTTGATGTATGTAAAATTATTAAGAAAATAGAATAAAATGTGCAATTTTTGTATATATGGGAAGAGTAGAAGCACGCGATAAGCGGTCTCGCTCATAGAACTAGTTTGCAAGCAAAACTCGTCGCAGTGCACTCACTGAATGAGATCATGTTACAACTACACGGTGTGATCTTGTACGTCCTCAACTTATAGAATCTTGGAAGTTGACACTGAAAAAGATCAGTTGCCGTTTCAAATTTCACTCGGATAAATTACGATTCTTTGCTCAGCATTATACAAAATTATTTTTCTAATTCCTGATAAATAAATACGAAAAAAAGTAAACAATTCCCACTCGATTTAGAAATTTAAAAAAATTTTCCATTTTTAATAAAAGAAAATGAAAAGCAAACATAAAACAAGAAAATAAAAAATACCGTTTTTATTTATAAACAGAATAGTAAAAAATCATGCCAATAATTTTCTTAAACCTTTAATATTATGTCAAGGATATTAATTTTTTTTCCGCTTCGTATATTTGTGTGTCTAAAGCTAAACCTTGTGGGACATGGTTGATTAAACTTGAATATCAAAAAATACATTCAGCATTAGGGGAACAATAAAATTTTCGACTAAATAAAGAAGGAAAAATATATGTTAAATCCAGTTTGACAGAAATGGAATGTTTTATTTGAAAAATCCGGATATTGGGGAGAAACGGAAACGGAAGCGACGCGCCCGGGTCAGACTAACATTTCCGGAAGTGAATTCCTTTATAGAGATTTATTTCTCTACGCGATAATTAAATTGCTTCGCGGGATAAATTAATATCACAATGATTGTTTTCAAGAATAAAAATCTTATTTGTAAATTAATTAAAAATGCGAAACTTTAAGCAATTTCTTCCATTCGAAGAATGTGAATATTTTCGTTAAAATTGAAAATAATTGGAAAAATTGTATCATTAATTTTGACTTGTCATCAGGAAACTGTGTGGCGTATAAAATACTTTTATTCGATAATTTAAATGATTGGCAGTCGGTTTTTTATTACGTAGAGAACAATTGCAACTAGATCAAGGTTTCCTTCACACAGCGTGATTACACTGCAAAATCGTTGTGTTTGTCTTTGAATCCTCTTCCTATGATTAAGAAGGATTAATACTATTTCTGCGTTAATCAATGTGCTTTCAATTCTCTCCATACATCTCTAAAGCTTGCGTAATTACAACCTACTTATGAATTAATTAATAGTCTTAATGAGTTGAAACTCCATTAGCAAGTTTCGATTCTCACTTCATTAATTTGCAAAATAAGCAACCCTTTAAATTAATGACTGAACATCAAAATTTTTCCATTTATTATCTAGAATAAAAGTTTTCAGAAAACATTACTTTTAATTTAAATCAAATTACTTTTAATGTGTATAAAAATCGATTTTATTTTAATATAATGTAGAAAAATTTAAATTAAATTTTATTTTACAGGGTCTCCTCGACAAGTACCTGATACCCAAGGCCAGCAATGCTGAGAGCAAAGTATTCTACCTCAAAATGAAGGGAGATTACTACAGGTATCTAGCAGAAGTTGCCACTGGTGACTCCAGAAATGGTACGTAGCATTTCAATTTTTTTCTCTATTTTTTTAAAAGAAAAAAAAAAGTAATTACGGAAATCACATTTTTGTCTATTTAAATTCTTCACATCTAATTTGATAATTTTGATTTAATATTATGACCAAAATTTTTAATTTTAAATTTATTGAAAATTTAGCATTATTTATTCAAGAATTGACTCAATCAAATTTTACATCTTTCAATTTTCAATCGTATCCAAATTTTAATATCATATTTCAATTGGTTCAAAACATTTTATTGACTAATTAAAATTTCAAATGATTTCAAATTCATTCAAAGAAATAAATTTAAATTTAAAGTTTCAATTAATTGGAGTTTTTTAATTGAATACATTTTTAATAATATAGATATACTGTGATTCCCATAATTACCGAATTTATCTAAAAATATTTATATTATTAGGAGAAATACTCTAAAAAGCAAAATTTTTGTATAAATTATTTTTTTCATATAAATAATAACAAATATTTCCAGGTAAACAAAAAATACAAAATTTTGTTTTTATCAGATTTTTCCTAAATAGAAAAATATTTTTTGTATTTTTTTCCCCTCGAGGGAATTAAATAAACCATAATTTTGTCGAGATATTAAACTAATATTTAAATTTCACGGATGAAAACTTTCATAAATGAAAATTATTATTTTTAAAAAATAATAATTTGCTTAATTGTTTACACGCTATACTTGTTTTTAACTAAAAATTTGCGCATTTTCACTTTGATATTTTGTTAAACAGCTGTATTGGCAGATGTTGTATTCAACCTGCATGCACATTGTATAAAAAGCATACAAGAAAATTATCTACATAATATAAATTCAAAGTCACGTTTGTAAAGAATCTTATATTTCAAAGCTTGCTCCGAAATAAATGCTAACAATGAAAGTGAAAATCCTTTTCATCAACGAAATTCTAAATATTGGTTCTCGTATATATTTTCCAAAAAATTTCTACAGTAAACTTTTTTTAAAAAATTATCTTTTCACTGTAAATAAAATACATACTTTTTTCTGATTTTTTTAAAATTTCTATTCTCGAAAAGCAAAATAAAATCATTTATGCATAATTTACGAAAAATGAATACCTACAAAACAAAATGAATACAAAAAGAATACAAAATTGTATTCATTTTTTCGGTGAAAATTCAATGGAATTGAATGAAAAATTGACATATAATGTTGAAAAACAAAGAAATGTAAATATAATTATTAATCGTTTAAATGTTGTTGGAAATGTTTCATTTTGCTTTTATGAAACGCAATTAATTCTGAAAATGAGAATATTTGGATTTTTTTTCTTTTTTTTCAAATGCAATGTATTTTTTTTAATTTGAAATTATTTAGCTGTCGTAGAAGACAGCCAGAAGGCATACCAGGACGCGTTTGAAATCAGCAAGTCGAAGATGCAGCCGACCCACCCCATCAGGCTAGGCTTAGCTCTCAACTTTTCAGTGTTCTATTACGAAATTTTGAATTCGCCAGATAAGGCCTGCCAATTGGCCAAACAGGTACTAACTAATTAACAAAACAAACAAAAAATTGACCCCTTCTTCTCAATTTTACAGGTTTTTTTCTTTTATTAAAACTGGTGAAGGGGATGGTGCAGTGGTGATTTCACAGTGGTGGTGGTGGTGGTGTTTAAGAAAACACATTTACAATTTAACAAATTTTGTTTCTAATTTTTAAATACAAAATAATAATCCTTGAAAAAAGAATTCTAAACACCTGCTGTAAATTTCGATAAAAAAAAAAGAAAGCAAAAATTTGAATAGTTGAATGGTTTACGTTACAGCAGTAGTTGAGGATTCACAAAAGGCATACCAGGAGGCTTTTGACATTGCAAAATCGAAAATGCAGCCAACACATCCTATCAGGCTTGGACTAGCCCTCAACTTCTCCGTTTTTTATTACGAAATTATCAATTCCCCGGCAAGAGCTTGCCACCTGGCCAAACAGGTTAGGGCGCAAGGAAATTGCTGCTTGAGTCCGAAAAATTATTATTTTTCTTTCATTTTCTTCGAGTGTGTTGTGTTTTATTAACACAATTTTTCCTCATAACTCAAATCTAAAAAATTAATATTGAAAAATACCCTCTTTCTATTCTCGTGTGTTTTTTTTTGCTTATTAACAATTTAAAAGGAAATTATTTTTTGGGCTTTCGAATTAACCACCCTTCTCTTTGACACTAAAATTACTACTCTCCTGTGAAGTTTCATTTGTCATTTTTACATTAGGACCTGGTTTTTATAGTTTTGTCTTTTAATTTTATTTTTTCACTTTTTTATCTCTGTATTAAATTTCAAATTTTTTATTTCACTATTTTTATGTTATTTTTGATATTTTTATTAATTTCATTAATACTGCAGAAATAAATCAAATTTTGAAACATTTTAAATTTGAATATATTTTTTTAAATATGTAATAAAAAGTTCAATTTAGAAAAATTTTAAATATTTAATTTTTTATTTGCATTTTTGTTTTTATTTTTTATTAAAAATACATATAATCAATTCTATGGAAATTTAAAAAAAGATGTTTAAATTCGCAACAATTCAATTATTTTTTTTTGTTCTCGAAAAAGCATGTTTCTTTTATTTCACGAAGATTTTAATTCAGGATTGTATTGGTTGTATTTTCTTTTCTCTTACTTTTCCCTCTTCTAATGTATATACAATTTTGTATGCCATCTATTCTATTTAATTGAAAATTTTTTTATTAATAACTAACAAATTTGATAACCACTTCATTATCTCCACTGTACCATTAACCAGTCCAGAAAGAAATTTAATTCTTCAGAAATTTTAATAATTTAAAAGTATTTATTATTATTAATAATTAATAATTATTATTATTATGTAGTTTCTGTAAAATATATTTTATTGGGAAGTTCGTTAAATTAAAATTATTTTTCTATTTAAATGTTTTGTAAATAAATATTCAGTAAAAAGGAATATTTGTCATGTCCTTTGTAATAAAACAAAAAATAAAAAAAAACTGTACCTAAAATTAAATAATAAAAACTTGCAAATGATTAATTCTGTTTCTATATAAAAATAAATTGTCCGGAAATTAATTACTGTAAGAACATGGAAATAAATTCCGTTGATAAGAATTTCTTGTAAAAATAGAGTTCAACGTTATTGGATTAAAAAAATTAAAATTAAAGCATTTATTTATATTGATTAATATTTTATTATTATTATTGTAAGGAGAAAACATAATAATTTCTTATTAATATTAATAGTTAAAAAAAATAAATAAAATAATAAATATAACTAATGAGTGAATTTATTTGTAGGCGTTCGATGACGCGATCGCGGAACTGGACACATTGAACGAAGACAGCTATAAAGATTCCACGTTAATTATGCAGTTGTTGCGCGACAACCTCACTCTCTGGACCAGTGACACGCAGGGTGATGGGGATGAACCACAGGAGACCGGCGACAACTAACCCTCCTAAGCTTAAGTCCTATCCTTTCTAATCTAATAAGAAACATCCTATTCTCTATCGTCCCCCGTCCTTTCAAGAGCTCACCCCACTTACCTACCACTCAACAATCCATCCACCCACCATCTGTCGTTTTGTCCTTCGTGTAACCTATTCCTTTATTATTATTATTTTTTTCGTTTCCTTCCCCCCCTACTACAAAATACCTCCGAATTTTCCTCCTCCCTTCCATATATTTTTTTTTCTTTTACACTCTCTTGTGAAAATTGTCCTCTTTCTTACTCTTTCTCTCTCTCTCTCCTGACACAATTGCACGTTGCCGCCGATTCCGACGTAATTACTCTGCCTGTTTCCGAATCCAATAATCCTCCAGCTAATCTTCAATTCGAAGCAAAAGAAGTAGGACTTCCGTCATCGTTTTCCTCTTCGTCTCATTTTTACTGAGGATCATCGACGACAAATGAAGAGAGAAGCTTAAATATGGCACTATTTAAAAAAAGAAAAAAAAATGTAAACAATGGAAAATTCATTTTTTTCAACTCGAGACAAAAATTACATGCAATTTTTGTACATATCCCAAGAATATGAAAACTCAGATATTTTGGAAGATTAGAATTTTTACTTTCCTTACTCCTTGAGTGCTTTCCTTTAATATAAATGTCTGTCGTAAGGAGAGTATTTAAAAAAAATCCCCATCCAAAATTATTTGAGTTTCAAATTCATTTCATTTTATACAAAAATCACATGTCTTGTCACGATCTCACTATTGTTTATATCTAATTTTTTTTGTCGAAATTTGCTTCTCTCTTTCATTGTAAACATCTATTCACAACACATTGTTTTTTTTCGTTCAATCAGACTTCCGATGTAATTTTTTTTAGTTCTCGTCATTTACCGGCGTCGTTATTTTGTAAAACTAATTTAGTGACAAAGTAAAGGAGATTGAATCCTGGAAGAATTGTTGTTTTAAAAAGCACGTCGAAAAAAAATTCCGCAAGTTGGAATCAAATTTACAGGTATATTATATATATATATTATATTTATCCAAAGAATGGATGGTTAAAAAAAATATCTTTAAGATTAGTTTTACTTTTTTTTTGTTTTTTTGTTTTGTCAACTGTACAATCGTGAAAGTATAAAAACAAAAAAAAAAAATTTTAAACGTTTGTAATTTATCATTGTCTCAGTATTTTGGTTGTGCATTTTTCTCAGGAAACATTGTTTTTCTGGTCTAAAAAAGAATGTCCAGATGAAAAAGTTTCTTATATATAAAAAAAAGAAAAAAAAGAATGTAAATTGGTCAAAAATTTTTTTCGTTCATGAGCATTCCAAAGTAAAGTAAAAGAAAAAAAAACAAGTAAAACTTGAAAAAGCTCACTACACCCGCCAAAATATCCTCAGAGAAGACCTTTTTATGAGAAGTTTCATCTGATTCTCTAGTTATTATATGCGTATACATATTTCACTATATGTAAAAAAACGCGTGTGTGTACTTACACACTATGTATATTACAGGAGACAAAAAAATCTAATTATTGATATTACACGTTTTGCTGTCGTGTTGATATTTTTTTTTCGATGTATCGATGTCAGTCGCAACAAGAGATCTCAGCAGAGAGCAATGCACAATTTCAGAAAAATACAAAAATAATGTCATTGACTAAAAATTAAATCGTTGGTAAACGTTGCTCGATGAGGAGGAAGAACAAATACGTTACAGTAACCTTCGAGGATTCTTTTAAGTATTTTGTCATTTTTTAAAAAATTTTTAGACACTCAATTTGTGTCGTTAGGAGAGGGGGGTCAATTGAAGGGTTGAGAATATTCGCGTCTTCGATTGTACTTTTTACGTCGTCCCCCCCTTGGTATAATTAATCTCCTTGTGAAAATCCCTCTTATTGGAGTTCTCAATTAGTCATTTCTCCAAAAAGAGAAAAAAAAAAAAATAATCTCGAGTTTCACGCTCGAACGACGGAAGAGCAAATGCACACAATTTAGCGGCAAGGATTTCGCGCCTGTTACGTATAAACCCAGTGTTGTATTGGAAATAATGAATTTTTTTTATGTATAATATATTGTATATTCAATTTTTTATTTTATACTTTTCAAACTTCTTCCAACGAGAGACGTGTCGAGTGCGTTTAAATAATAATATTTGACAAATTGAGAATTTATCACACGCGCGTCATTCTTTTTTTCCGAGTCGACTCTACATTTTTTTTTGCATCACGCGAACCCTTTCCACCTCGACACAAAACCAACGACACTTATATCCCTACCCCCCCATTCATCCTCGATTATCCCTCGTCCCAAATTACGTTATTCTATTTGTATTTATCATCAAACCATCGTAATTGTAAATTATAATTATTATTATAAACGTTTACACGAAATAATAAATTCTGATAAAATGTCTGAAAAAAAACCATAATTTAAGACTCTATTTGCTTTTTGCGCGCAATTGTCCAAAAAAAATGCGTGGGAAAAATTTTTTATCGAGAAGTTCTTGTATTCAAAAAATTGGATAATTAAACACTTTTTGTTAATTACGAATTAAGAATTATGGGAAAAGCGAATTGAATGTTTATTTGAAATAAAATTGAAATTAGGTTTTCAATTGTAAATGTAATAGAAATTTTGATTACTTTTATCTTAATATGTTCTTTATAAATTTTCATTAGCTTTCAAAAAGATTAAATTCTTTTCAAAAAATACGCAAATTTGTTAAATTTGGGAAAAAATTGTTTCTTTTCCAAAAGGATGAATTCTGATGGAACTTTTTCTCGAGATTAATTTTTTCTATGTAATTTCTTTATATTGTTGCTATATAGTATTTAGTTTCTTTTATCATTTTTATATTGTTAAATTATTATTATTATTATTATTATTATTATTAATTATTATTCCAGCGAAGTTGACTTGAATAATTTTTGTGAGCGATTTATCAAGTAAACTTCGCACTCGAGTTTTGTGTCAAGCGTGATAATTCGAATTTCTAAATCTGAAAAGCAAAAGTATGCCGCGTACATTTCTCATTCTCAGGAGCGTTGCAGTATTCGTCATTTTAATTGTGTGACTGGACCAATCATCATAGTTATTTTGTCATCGATCGATTCGCAATGGTTTCCATGAAAAAAAAAAATTTTCTCTCATTACTTTCCGCATGAGCAAAAGAAAAACAAAACCTTGGACTTTTTTTCCGGGGGATTTCTTGTTCCAGAGATGAGGAATTTGGACTTGAACTTAAGAAAAATATATGATAGTAAAATACTGATAGTTATTTTTCCGCTGTTGACTCAAACAATTTTTATTTCTTTTTTCGAATTTTAAGTGGAACAAAAAATATCTTTTCTTTCAGTTAATTTTCGGTAACTTTGCATTTTATTTTAATTAAAATTTTTTTTAAAAATTCATTTCTAGACTTTTGAGAAAATAAACAGTTTTTAAATAAATATAATCAAAGATTTTGTTTTGTAAAGTAGTATGAATTTTCTAACGAAAAATTGCCATATTACTTAAGAAAATTTTTTCCTAATTTTGCAATTTAAATATTTAAATTTTGAAATGAAAATAAAATTTAATAAAACTGAAATATATTTCTACATTTTTTTAGTGTCTAGCATTCCTTAAAGAAAAATCTTTCCTCGTACGAATCGCAATCGAGGTTAAAAAGTCGATTTCAAATATTAGTACCGATTAATGGGAAAAAGCGCAAAAAGAGAATTTGAAAATTTCTCACGTGTACTTATTGATAAAAAAATATGATTGTTAAGATTTAGACTGTTAAACGTCAATACATTTTCTTTCATATAAAATTTTTCGTGTTGATGGTATACATATTATTATTATTATTAAAAAAATTATATATACTTGTATACGTATTATACACTTTATGTAGATGAATGTAAGATGACTTAACATTGCTACAGCATTTTTGCACAATTTATATACATGTAGCCAAAAAAAAGGATTTTTTCTAAGTGTAGTCTATTTGAAAATTTGGGTAATCAATATATTTATTATTATTCTTAAATTATTATTCGGGACGTTCATTTTAAGACTTATTATATAGTCTACAAGAAACATCTTTAAAAGAAATGACTTTCAAATTAATTATTTAATTAATAAAAAATACTCAGGAAAAACATTAATTAAATAATTAATAAAAATAATATATTTAACAAAAAATATTAGAACTGAAAATTGAATGGCGTTGAAAAAAAATAATGTTACTTTTGAATTCAAAAAATTTTCAAAAATTCTCTTATAAAAAATGATGTTTTTTGTGGAAATTATAAATATTCAGTGGCGACAAATCTAAACAATTCTTTTTTTAAATATTTAACTAACAGAATTTGATTTACATTTTTTATAATAAATATAACTGCGAGAAAAATTTGATTCTCACGAAAGCTGATTAATGAAAAAAATACTGAAAAAGAGTTTTATATGATAATAACTAAGTAGAGCAATCATATTCATGAAATTAAGCCTTGAGCAAGTTTTGTATATTCATAGATAAAAAAAACAAACAAAACTCAACATTTGTATAATAAAAAACTTGGAAAAATTTATAATCATTTTTCAATAAATTAAAGATACAAAATTGCATTGCAACAATCAAATTATTTAAATTGATTGTTTTTTCAAGAAAAAAAATCTTTTAAAAAACATTTCGATAAAAAATTCCTTTTTACAAACAAATAGAAATATTCTTTTGATAAAAAAATTCTTTACATAATAAAAAATTTTTAAGAAAAAAAAATTCTCTTTAATAAAATTATAAACAAAATTATTTATAAGAAATTTTCTCTAAATAAAATTATTGATAAGTAAAAATTCTTTACAAAAAAAATTCCTTTGTGGAAAACATTCTTTATAAAAAAATTACCAAAAATATTTTATACAAAAAATTGTTGATAATAAAAAAAAGAATAATTTTTAAAAAAGCGAATTATTTAAAATTCTCTAATTAATTTTTATTAGGAAATAAATAAAAAAGGAAATAAATTTTTTGTCTGAAAAATGATGAAATTGTATTCATAAAATGATATTTTAAAATGCATTGGTCAATCATTCTTGGAATTTGTCGCCACAAAAGAACAAAAGAAAACAAATCTTCTTTTTTTTTAGTCTTTGTATAAATTTTCCTTATTTTCGTTTCTAAATGAAAACTAGAAAAAATTTATAGAATAATTGTTCTCCTAGTCATTGTCCTGCGTCCTTTTTCAATTCCATCGAATTCTGTAGCAGTTCAACGCCGTTTCAATAATCAAATATTAATAATACACGTTCAATGGATATAATAATGCGATGCGAGCTTTGGCGGGGTGATATTTGTAAATAAAACTCTAAAGCAAAAGAGACTTACTTTTATTCTCCTGCTTTCAGAGTAGTTATAGAAAATGTCACAAACTAGAATGACACACAAAATTTTCACTAACTCCATCGCGATTTAAAAAGAAAAAAAATTTCATTTTCGATTTATACTGTCTAATTTTTTTTTTCATTTAAAAAATAAACCTTTTGATAATTTTATTCGTTTAAAACAATTTCTAATTAATTGAATTTAAAAATAAAAAATGAACTATTTTATAATTTTGTTCGTTGAGAATAATTTCTAATCGAATTTAATTGCAAATTTAAATAAAATAAATAACAATTTAATTGAAATGAAAATATAAAAAATTTGCAATCTTTTTCAGATTTTCCAATAATTATTTAATTTATTAAAACTAATTTATTTAAATAAATAATAGAATATAATATTTCAAATCGAGTGCATTGAAAGATAACGTGCATTTCAATTAATCATCAATTAAGATAAAAATAACGTCTATAAAGTCTGTAATAATTTTCCTCCATGCAATAGTATTCACTTTATCATCACCAATATGTGGAAAACACAAATCGAAAACAAACAGTCCGCTCGCTTATTGTTGGAAAATGGTCAAAAATTTCAACATCACACGGTAAGTAAAAGTTCATTTACCTAAAATATTTTATTTTTCAATTTTTCCCAAATTTTTCTAATTAAATTAATATGATAATGAACTATTTTAATTTATTTTCTTTGAAGAAAATTTAACATTTAATTTTATCCATTTTATCCAAAGAAGATTAATTTTAGGTGAGTAATTATTTTAGTCATTAATAATGAATAGACTAGTCAACGAATTAATTGACATATTAATTACTGTATAAAATAATTGTAAAAAATATTGTAAAAATCAATAACAATAAAAAATTTTTAAAATATTTTCTAACGTTAAAAAATTTTTCTCATACTCTGAAAATAAATAAAAAATCAGCAAAATAATTTGTAATAAAATTCTCTGACGATTTTAAATGAAGAAATAATTTTCAAACTTGTTTTGTTTTGTTAAAATGATATTCTTATTTTATTGCGAAAGAAAGACCACTGTCACATCAATAGAAAATAATAATACTCTCTAAAAATAGAAAAAAGAGATGTTCAGACGTAGAAAATTGAATTCAAAATGAAAAAGATCTGAAAATTCTATGCGCGAAATGACGAATTATTTCTGATTGGTCCATTTCACAACGATAGCAACGCCTTCTATAAATCGTCTGCTAAAATTTTCCGACGGACACCGACGACGGTGAATTAAAGGTCGAGGCAGAATAGAAATAAATACGTCGAGTGGTAACGAGATAGTGGCTAAAGACAGAAAATAGAAGAAGACAGAGAGTTAATTTTCTCATGTGCAACGAAAAAAAGAAACAAAAAATATTCATCACTTCATTTTGCTTTGACCCATAGTTTTTGGGGTTTCCTATAGAGTTACATTCAGGAACAAATTCAAAGGTCACCTTGAAAAAAAGTCTAATCGTGAAACAGGTGACACTCCTGACACTTGATTCGAAAAGCACTGTGAATTTATTAATTGTGACAAAAAATTATCAATTAATTTTACTAATAAAAAACGAAGGATAGTTGACTAATTTTTGGTGAGTGATTGTATTTTTATTTGCAATCGTGTCAACGTCAATAATTGACATATTTCACGATAAACGTCATTCTTGTCATAACACCTTGTTTCACCCTTGAACAATTTCGATTTTTAAAAAAAACAATTGCAATTTAATTTTTAAATATTTTTTTACATTTTTTCAAAACTGATGAAATAAGGTAATTTAAAAACTGAATTTAAAAGTTACTTTTGCTATTAATAAAACATTAAGTATTAAATCTTAAAATTATCGATTTTTTAAAAAAAAAATTTTCATTTCCAATTATGAATAAATCAATTTTAAATTTTGCTACCTTGTTTATTGAAACCTTTTTTCACAACATAGGTTAACTATTGCGTGATGCAGTTGTTATGAATTAAAAATGTAAAATTTAGAAAAAAACATAAAAAAGGAAAAATTTTATTTTTTCTCATCACGCAATAATTGTTAATATTATTGTTACATACTGTAATCAATCGCAATTGTTTCTTTTTGCCTCGACCTACTTATTGTCTCCTGTCAAATTGATTTTGAATTATGCAATAGCTGCTGAATTTTACCCTCCAAAAGTTTATAGGAACAAATATGACAGTTTGTTTGTTTTTTTAATTAACAAACTTCATTTAATAAATTTTGTCCTTTTTAACCATTTTTTTAAAGTGAAATTTAAAAAGTATGTTTAATTAATTTTCAATTTATTAATTTCTATTTATTGAAAGAAAAGTAAAATGTCAAAAAAATGCGTTTGTCCTTCAAGCAATGATGACGATTCTAATAATTCAGATTCGGATTCAATATTATCGAAAATAATATCAAAATTTGCTACACAAACAGAAAGTAATTTGAGTTTAAGAATAGTTAATCGAGATGACGATAGTCTAAACAGTTTCTCGTCATTGTCAAAAAATGCAAAAAATATTCAACATTTGCAGAAACTTCCCAACAATAATAAAAAATCACCGAAAATTCAAATTGACGAAAATGAAATTAAAATCGGAAAGAAATTTATATTTGAAAAAAATAGAATACTGAAGAATGTTCATAAGAATATAAATTTATTCAAAACATTCCCACAGGCTAGTTTTTCAATTTCAGTAAATTTTTTCTTTTCTTCTTTGGTTTTTCTAATGATTTTTTTTTACGCAGATGTTTCTCGAAGGTAAAGAACCAAAAAATATGCAAGTTTTTTCAGAGTTGTTAGAAAATGCAAATGATTTAGAAGAAATTCAGGATATAATCTATCGGAAATATTTTGAACAAACAAAAGAGGCAATTATCCATTCTCAAGGGAAAAAAAAAGAAATTAGTGTCAAGTTTATTTATATAAAATTATATTTTTAGATATCTAAAAAAATTGTCTATTTCCATTAGGAACGAGAAGGTTCACGATTTCAAAATCCCTTGATTCTACAAATAACTGAAAAGAATGTTGTTAGAAAAAGCAAATTAGACGAGGCAAATAAATTTGTAATATTTAAAATATAAAACTCTAGATCTATTTTTATTGTTAATCGTAATTTAATTTTTATCGTTCTCTGATATAATTGAACTCGATTTTATGATATACTACGCGAACAAGTGACCTATGATCTTTTTGATCTATACATTCAATCATTCCTGATTTATATAATATGTATAAATTTGCAAAAATAATTAACTTTTATTTTTTAATACACAATTAAATTTAAAAATGTAGTTGTAATAAAAAAGTAATTATGATACTTAATTACGTGACAAAAGAATTAGTGTAATAAATTAGGAATTAAGTTAAGAACTCAATTACTGCCGGGTATTAAATCATCAAATAATCTTTTTGTTTACAATTAGTGTAAAACTAAAGCTGAAATAAAATTTTTTATTTATTTTTTACGACTTTAGGATAAAGCAAAACAAAAACGAAAGCAAAGTAAATAAATAAATAAATTTTATTTCAATCGCAAATAAAATAGCAATTTTAATAAAGAATAGAAATTTAATTTAGAGGATTTTTTGAAATTAAAAGTTTCATTTCCTTTTCAGTGTTTAGAGTATATTTACAAAGAAATCATGGAGGAAGAACAAATAGCACAAAGGTTCATAAAACCTGGTAGTCACAAGGGTAAAGGATTGGCTGTTTTTACGAGCGGAGGTGATTCCCAAGGTATGGAAAAAATAAGACTAGAGAATGTTGATAAAAATTTAGAGAATTTAAAAGAAAAATATCAACTGATTATTTTTAATTAAGAGAAAAATAACGAAAATTATTTTACAGGAATGAATGCAGCCGTCCGTGCCGTAGTACGAATGGGAATTTATTTAGGATGTAAAGTTTTCTTTATCAAAGAGGGTTATCAAGGTATGGTGGACGGCGGAGAAAATATAGTCGAAGCAACTTGGTCATCAGTGTCTTGTATCATCCACAGAGTAATTAATCAAACCTGATTTCTTTCAATTTAATATTTTTCGAACGTTTGAATTTATTTCTTCTTCAAATTAAATTTTTATCACAGTTTTGCATCACAATTAAAAAAAATTAATTTTAATCAAGAAAAAAAATTATAAAGTCTAAAAAAGTAAAATTTAAATTAAATTTTCTATTTGATTATTACAATCAGTAATTTATGAAAATATTGTTAACAAAAATTTCTCGTTTATTTGAACGATCAAACAACTTGATTTTGTTTACCAGAATCAAGTGAATTTTTTTCTTTTTTTCGCTCAGTATTTAGAATTGATTTTAATTTTTAATCAATTTAAGAAATAATTAAAATTTTTAAGAATGAAATATAATTTTCGCTGTGTATTTTCAGGGTGGTACCGTGATAGGATCAGCACGTTGCATGGAATTCAAGGAACGAGCTGGACGTAAACGCGCAGCGAAAAATTTAGTTCTTCGCGGAATTGCGAATTTAGTTGTCATCGGTGGTGACGGTTCTCTCACCGGTGCAAATCTATTCAAGGAAGAATGGACCGATCTTTTGAAGGAATTGGCAAAAGACGGTACGTCCAAGTGTCTCAATTCTTTATCAAATTTTTAATTTAAATATTTACCTACTGAATGAAAAATGTGATTTAGAACGAAAAAATAGTCTGTTTAGAGATAAAATCTGTAAAGATTTTATCTCTAAAAAGACTATTTTTTCGTTTTCTAGAAATTCCGAATTTTCTGGTTTGATAAGAAAATCTGCATTTAATTATTTCGTTCACCAAGAAAATATTAAGTAATTTTTCGCTTGACAAAGAAAAATGTTAGTAAATTTTTGTAAGAATGATCGGGGCATTTTTTAACTAAAAGGGGAAAAAATTTGCTTTTTTGAACTAAAAATTGTAATTTTCTCACAGGCGACATAACGCAAGAACAATCCGAAAAATACGTGCATCTTCACATTGTTGGATTGGTAGGCTCCATTGATAATGATTTCTGCGGCACTGACATGACAATTGGTACTGATTCTGCACTTCATAGAATTATCGAGAGTATTGATGCCATTGTCAGTACTGCGTACTCTCATCAGAGAACATTTATTATGGAAGTTATGGGTCGTCATTGTGGGTAAGTGACAAAAACACCAAATTAATAAATTTTATGATTTAAATTTTCAAAAGTTTTCCAAAAAGAATTGATCAAAAATAAAATCAGAATCAAAAGTTAAAAAATATTTATCGTAATTTCTCTCTTTTTTGAAAAAAAGTTAACAATTTAAAAGTTTGAACTTTGGTCAGGTACTTGGGAATCGTAGGCGCTTTAGCCGCCGAGGCAGATCATGTATTCATACCGGAATGCCCGCCCCCCGCCGATTGGCCTGAAAGACTTTGTAAAAAGTTGGAGCAGGCATGTCAATGATATTTTTCCGAAAATTTTTTAGTTGACGTCCTTTTTTATTAACTGACAATTTACATATTATAGTAAAATTCCGACTAACTTAAAATAAAACACACGTTACTAAAAAAAGTTTTTCTAAAGTTTTGAGAGAAAGTTTTGTTGTTTTTTCTGTCATTCTAAAAACAAACAATTGTTTGCATTCTGTATTTTAGATTAGAAAGTACATTTATTTTTTTGTGACAAATTGACTTCACTTAACGATAATACGAACAATTATGTGAAGATAACGTATACCCCCCTTAAATTAATGTTCCTATTCATTTAGCATATTTATAACAAATCATAAATTCATGAGCTTTTTAGTTTATATTTTTCTATATTTCTGTCAATTTAGTTTTTGAATTTCCGTCAGTTAAATACTGTGTCAATAGAATTCTAAAAGCTCAACTCAATTCTGCAAGCTTATTTGCAAATGCCCCCAATGATTAGGCTATTCATTCGTTGAGTAGTTTAAACCACATATGGTATTTCTCTATTCACTATATTAATATCCATGTCAGTCGTTGAAAATTTGAAATTACATTTTGTAAAATTGCAATTTTAACAATTTTTCAGTAATTATATTCTTTTATTCCTCTAGTAAAGTTTGAATTATTTTTATTTATTCTTATTGAAATTAATTTAATTAAAAATTGAATAGAACACACAAAATTCTCTTCTAATTGAAAATTTAGTTCAATTAAAATTAAATTAATTAAAATTCAATTCAATTAAAATTCTATTTAAATAAATAAAAAATTTATTTTAATCAAAGATGTTTTTAATTCTTTTAAATTAAAAAGAATTTTTTCTGAAAAATTGAATTTCTATTTACTAGAAAATTACTCAAAAGGACCTGATTGATAATATGGTAGTATGTATATCATTTGTTCAATATTCCTTCTAGGTAAAAAAAATTTTTTTTTAATGTCATTAAATATTTGTGTGTCATTATTTTTGTAAAGAAAAATCATAACATTTTCAAGTAAGTACAAGCTAGAGCCTTCAGTTAGGTTTAATATTACAGCTATCTGGCTCTGGTAGCAGCTATTTGTTGCGAAGCTGATTTCGTCTTCATCCCCGAATGGCCCGCTGAGCGAGATTGGCCGAACAAGTTGTGCAAAAAATTATTGCAGGTTCGATTTGCAAAATTTTTTTTTTAATCACAGGAAAGTCTAATTTATTCTTTTTATGTAAATCATGTAAATTAAGCTTTGGAAATTTATTATTTTTTGTCTAATTTAATTATAAAATTCCCGGAATTTAACCGGAAATCATTATTTTATAGTAGATTTTTTGTCAATTAAATTTTATAATAATTTTTTTTTAATTTAATTTTATTTTATTTTATAATAAATTTTAATAAAAAAGTTATTTAATTTTCTTTCAAATTTATTTCTTGACTACTAGTAGAATTTTAGGTTGTTGACGCGGGCTCGCTTTTCATTTCATGCATGTCTCATTTGTCTAAATTTGCAAAAATGATTTTTTCATTCTTTATGAATCGTTTATTAATTTTGTTTTTAACTAATTGATTTTTTTACTAATAAAATTCAGAATAACAATAAATAGAAAAAAATTCTATTATAAATTACAGTCAAGAAGAATATTTTTAAGCCTTTCGCTTCGATAATTACGTAGAAGAGAATAAATTCAATTAACTTGCTTTGTATTTGCCGTAAAAGTTGTGTTTATAAATTAAATTGTCAAGAAAAAATTAATATAATTTATAAAATAATTATATGTAATTATTAAATTATAATATTCTTTGCAATTGAATGAATTTTTTTTAGCTAATCAATAAATACAACTTTTACAACAAATAATTATTTCCACGCTTTAAAAAAAATTGTAATTGCTATAAAAAAGTATTTTTTTTTTTGAAAAATTTAACTAAATTGATATTTTCTAGGAACGTTTAACTGGGCAACGATTAAACATCATCATTGTGGCAGAAGGAGCCGTCGATCAAAATGGAGATCCAATTACAGCAGAAAACGTGAAAAAAGTTGTGGTCGATAAATTGCAACAGGATACAAGAATCACTGTTCTTGGACACGTACAACGTGGAGGAAATCCATCAGCTTTCGACAGAGTTTTAGTGAGAATTTCTTTTTTCTCTATTGGAAACTCAAAATATCGAATACTAAAAATTGTTAATTAAAAAATATTTTTTTTTTAATAATAGGGATGTCGTATGGGAGCTGAGGCAGTTATGGCTTTAATGGAAGCAACACCAGAAACTGAGGCTTGTGTTGTTACTCTCGACGGAAATCAAGCCGTTCGTTTACCACTAATGGAATGTGTACGTCGAACAAAAGCCGTTGCTCAAGCAATGGCTGATAAAAATTGGGATCTTGCTGTACAACTTCGTGGAAAGTGAGTAAATTTTTTTAACAAATAGATTAATTTTATCGAAAAAATTCCAAACTAATTGTTTTTTTTTTCTACAGAGGATTCGTGCGAAATTTAGAAACGTACAAAATGTTGACACGATTGAAGGCACCGGTCGATCCTGATGCAAGCAAGGTTTGTATTAATTTTAAAACTTGTTTCCTTGTTTGAGAGTCACGAGCCAATTAGATTGTTTAATTTAATTAATGAATAATAATAAAAATAATAGTAGTCTTACAATGGTAAAAATAGTAGTGTAATGGTAATAATAGTAAAATAATAATCCACCTAGATTAGAGATTAATAAACTTTAAAGCACACACAAATTTTCCATGTGAGCTAACAAGAGTACAATTATTTATTGTAAATTTAATAAGAAAGGTTCGTGTCTCTAAAACCATAAAATGTATTTTAATTGAACTAGTTAAAAATATCCTTTATTAATAATGCTTCAGGAAAATAATAATGGTCCCGTCCTAACTAAGGTAAATTGAATTAATACCTAAACATGCTTCAAAGTAGCACATAGCGCACTTAAAAATTAGTTTTTCAATGTAATATTCACGAAGTCCTTTATTAATGTTTCTTAATTCCTTTCTCGCGATAGCAATTCACTCTATGTGGACAAGTAAGTAAAAAAAATCAACCCTTGCCATTCATCAATAATCATGTTTTACTTTTTTTCCATCTGTTAGTATCATGTTTATGTTGGAAATTTAGTGTTTGACGCTATAACACAATTGCAGCAAGCTAAAACTAGAATTTAAATATTTGTGTAATAATAATCATCGATGGGTCTATCACTCTCACTCCAGCGGAAAAATTTCCCAATTTACAAATAATTACAATAGAAACTATGTTAAGTTTTTTAAAAAAAAATTTATTTTCTTCGTTTAGAATAATTTTTAATTTTTTTTCATTGCAGCTTTTTAAAGAAAATACTTAATCTTATTTTAAATAAGAATTTATCTATCTTTTTTGTCTCGTTCATAAATAAGATAAATAAATTAGAGAGCAGGAGAGAAATCATTGTAAAAAACTTTCTTCGAAAATTGTTTTCACAAACTCATTGTTCGCCTATTTTTATACTAACAATTTCTTTTTCGAAATTCATTTCAATTTTAAATAAACGGATAGAAATTTTCCAGAAAGAAATAATAAGCTTCTTTGTTTGAGAATTTTTCAAAAATAAGCTTCTATGTGAAATGTAATTCAGAATTAATATTTTCCAATTCTAAAAAATTATAAATTTCTAAAAAAAATATTTTTCAATTCTTGAAGCTTCTACGTGGCAAATCTAATTCAGAACTGTCTCTCTTTCTCATAATATTGTTAATATTTTCAATGTTTGAAGCTATTATTCTCTGAAAGAAAAAGAAGAGGTAAATTCAATGAAATAAAAATTAATTATTATTTTCTATTTAGGATCATTATACGATGGCTGTTATGCACGTTGGTTCACCTTCTTGTGGAATGAACGCAGCAGTTCGTTCCTTTGTGAGAAATTGCATCTATCGTGGAGACAAGGCAAGTTAGAAAAAAGAATAATTTATTTTTGAAATAAATTTTTAAAGCAGATAAAATTAGTCAAAAAAATGTACCTAATTATTTTTAAAAATTAAAAAATTCTTCATAAGAATTTTATTATTTCTTAAAAATTTTAATATAATTTTTTATTTACTATTTTTATTTTTCCAGGTTTATGGAATTTGCGATGGTGTCATGGGACTTGAGGCAGGAAAATTGAAACTAATGGACTGGGCATCTGTAACTAGCTGGGTGGCACAGGGTGGCGCTTATTTAGGAACAAAACGTGCTCCACCAACAAACGAACAACTACCGCACATTGCTCAAAAACTCAAAGAATTTGGAATTCAAGCTCTTCTAATTATTGGAGGTTTTGAGGTATTTTCAATTTTGCAAAAATTGGAGCAAATAGAAAAAATATTACGAATCTTTCTCTTGAATTTTGTTCTCTTCTTGATTAGGGCTACCAAACAGGACTCACTTTCTACAAAGCAAGAGACCAGTTCGATGAATTTAAAATCCCAATTGCCATGATTCCAGCAACAATTAGTAATAACGTTCCGGGAACGGAATTTTCTCTTGGATGTGATACTGCTCTTAACGAAATTACAGAGGTAATTAGAAGAAATTAAATAGAAGAAAAGAGGGACTAGAAATTAACAATTTTTTTTCTTCAGATTTGTGATAGAATTCGTCAATCTGCTCAAGGAACGAAACGACGTGTATTTATTATTGAAACAATGGGTGGTTACTGTGGATATTTGGCCACAGTCGCTGGTTTAGCGGGTGGTGCCGATGCAGCTTATATTTTTGAAGAGAAATTCAACATCAAGGATTTAAATCATGACGTCATTGCAATGGCTGCAAAAATGTCTGAGGGAGTTCAGAGAGGTCTAATTCTACGCAATGAAAATGCTAATTTAAATTACAATACAGATTTTATGCAAAGGCTCTTTAGTGAAGAGGGCAAGGGACTCTTCAGTTGCAGAAGTAATATTATAGGTAATTATTGTTTATTTTCTACTTTCCCTTTTTTTGTTTCGTTGAAAATAGTAATGGAAAAAATGGAAAATTTTAGGTCACATGCAACAAGGAGGATCTCCCACTCCGTTCGATAGAAATCTAGGTACCAAAATGGGTGCCAAAGCAGTGGAATGGTTTTCTGAACAACTTAAAAAATATCCCAATCCTGAGGGCAAAGCAAGCGATCCTGACAGCGCTGTTATGTTGGGAATCGTCAGAAGACAATACAGATTCACGCCCTTCAAAGATCTTATTCAAGTCACTGATTTTGAGTAAGTTTTTCCTCACTAATTTTCACAATTTAAAATTAAAACTTCCAAGTTCTTTTTTAACAATAATAAATAATTTATTTATTTCTAATTAGTCATCGAATTCCAACTTATCAGTGGTGGATGAAATTGCGTCCTTTGTTGAAAGTACTGGCAAAACACGAATCAACATACGAAGAAGAAGGTCTTTACATAACAGTGGAAGAAATGGATTTCGACAATGATCCACCTCTCGTCTAGGTATTTCTATTATACATAAAAGCAAACAAAATTTTAGCGAATTTCATCGTAAATATAATGTTTTCCTAGCCGTATCTCGATAAATGTTTGTATAATATGCACGTTACGCTATAAGTCTTTAAAAAAAATAGTTCAGTAATGCTCGCGTCTAGTTGAATTTTAAACACCGAAGAAAAAGAAATTAATTTTAGTATACAAATGAAAAAGAAAAAAGGAGGCTAATTTTATCGTAGTTTCATGCGCTTGACATGTTGCTTGATTGCAACATTAATAAAATACATAATATATTTTTTAACTTATATAAAAATTGTTTTTATAAATATTACAATATATTTTATGGCTGGTCACATCGTTTTACTGTAATTTAAAAATAAAAACATTTTTTCTTCTTACAAAATGTTTTTTCCGCAAGACGGAAATAATAGTTATTGTGTACTTTTTTTTCTAAAGAATTTTTAAACTCAGGTTTGAGAGAGAATATTGCTGGTACAAAATATGTAAAGAAGCTGAGAGATATGACAAAAAAAAAGAATTTAAATATTTTACTCAATATTATTTTAAAAACTAAAAATTCAAAGCGCCTTTTTTTTGTTATTCTATAGAAACATAAGAAATAAATAAATAATTTTGAATATTCATTATTAATATGAAATATATTTATAAGATTGGATGTATTAATTAAGTAAATTATACAGAGAAAAAGAAATATTAGAAAAATTGAAATCGTTAAAATTTTTGATAACATTTAGCGTGAAATTTAAAAAAAAATGATTCAAGTTAACACTTGATAGTGGAACAAATTTAATCGTGAATAGATAAGGTATACGATAAAAAAAAATTTTAAGAAAAAAAAGTTTGTGGCACATTTCAGTTAATGAAAATTGTCTCTCTGTTTAGCATTAATCAAAGCTTTAAACTGAAAAAAAGCTAATTCAGAGAATATACTCGTCTACCTCAAAAGATAATTTGCAATCGTAATAACGGCTCTTAGGAACAGATCAAAAAAAAAAACCTAAGTCGTGTTGGTTGCACGTAACTTTTAATGTGCTAAACTTTAAGGCTTGTGACCATATCAGTTATTTAGTGAATTTTTTTTTAAATGTGTCAGCACGCTTGTCTTTGTTCAATTCACAAAAACTCAAAAATGGAATTTTATTCAACACGCTTTTTTACTAGATTTATCTTCCATTTTTTAGTCCCAAAAAAAATTAACGTCCCTGTGTCAGAAAATATTTTTATTCTTTGATCAACAAAAATTTGAATTGGAAATAAAATAATTTGAAAAAAACATTTAAAGTAATCGAAAGTAAATAATAATACTAAATTAAAATTGAAAATAAATTCAAATTTTGTTGATCTTGATAAACTCAAACACTAATTAAAAGTTTCTCTAAATATTTTCTAATATTTAAAGAAGAAATTGAAAAAGAAATTTACTTTTTTAATAATATTACTGTTCTCTACTAATAATGCGATCAGCCTAAAATTCAAAAGTTACCTAAGCGACGTTTGTCAATACCAAAAAAAAAATGCACGTTGCCTCTTTTCCCAATGAAAGTTAAAACTAAGTTGTAAGAATTTTTATAGTTTAAAAGAAGAAGATGCTAATAAAATAACGTATAAAAAATACGTAATGACACTCGTCGAGTGGAATACATTAACGAAGCGGCATAGGATATTATTAATGAAAATACTATATATTTTAAAGAGAAACGTAATTAACTATTATAGTTAAAGAGGAAAACAATCTATATTAACACAAGTATATGTTAATGACAATACTAATTAATTGTTAAAGAATAAAATGACTATAAATTCACTGTTACTGAACAGTACTAAAAAAAAAATTATAAAATACGATATTTACTATAACACAAAATACGCATTAACTCATACAAGAAACGAGAAATTAATTAATTTAATAAATGTTACTAATTTTGGTTTATTTTTTCTTTCAAACTCTTATACGACTTAATGCAGACATAAAATATTTAGTGAATAATATTGTTTTTTCTTTTTCAAAACAAATGGCAGCTTTCGTATTATAAATTATAAATTTAATATTAAAAAAATAATTTTCTTAAATATTGATTGTGTATATGTGAGTGTGCATATTTATTCGATTTAAAAATGTTCCGAGTGAATTAGAAAAAGTAGAAAACGAATAACTATTTTCGTTCTATTATATTGTGAAGAAAAATGTGTGAAAACGAGTAAATTTAAAAATATAAAACAAAAATTTTCTAAATCTAATATCTCCATAAAATTCGTGCCATATCAATAATATTATATTATATATACCTACTCCCACACTTACGATGTGTGTGAAAAAATAATAATAATAATCCGACACAATCTATTATAATATACAATTACAGCAAGTCTGTATAAAGAGTTAAATATTTTTTAAGATCCCTAAAGTCTATTTTTCACTCATTGTTGATCAATGAGTTGATGGTGATTAAAATCAAGCCTATAGTATTATTTTGCAAATAATTTATAGTTTAAATGACAAGTTATATCCGTGTGTTTAAAAAAAAAAGTGAATCTCATTGGCACGAAAAATGGTGCGATTATTAACTATATTGTATAATAATTATTAATGTCGTCAAAATAAATTATATCTTATGTAATTGATAATTTAATTTAACAATTTCCCACGGGACATTATGGACCAAAAATAAAAATTTACGGACCAATTACTGACAAAAATATAATCAGTCCGAGTCAAATAAGAGAACATTTTACTTAAAACTATAAAATAATTTCAATTCAATTATTATTTTCAAGAATTTTTAACTAAAATTCTTCTTTAAATTTTTAATAATTTTCGAAAAAGTTCTTTTCGAAATTGGATTTTCAAATCCAATTGTTTACAATATTCAATTTTACAAAATTTTTATTATTCGTAAATTCAAAGATTTTAATTTTTGAAGCCTTTTCATAATTAAATTATTTCTAAAAATTTACGCTACAATGCTTTTAATATTGTTATTATCTATATTTTTAACTGAAATCCATTTTTTAATCAATTTTTATTAGAAAATTCTACTAGAATTCAATTATTTAAATAAAAAAATACGAATTTTAATAAAAAATTTAAGAATAATTACATTTTTCGAGGAATTCGATTCAAATTGTATTAAAAATAATTGAAATTTTACATTGAGTTTTATTATTCATGAAAATAATTGAATTCCTAAAAAGAATTTCATTATTTAGAAAAATAATTGAATCCCTTTAAAAATGTTACTACATATTTATAAAAATAATTGAACTATATTACAAAGGAATTTATAAAAAATTTGTAAATAATTGAATTTCTGTGAAATTTTTATTATTTTACGAAAATAATTAAAAGTTTGCGTAGAATTTTATTAAATTATTTTTAAATAATTGAATTCTTTTGAAAGATTTTATTAAAATAGTAGATATTTAAAGTCATTGAATTACGGAAATTTTTTTTTGAAAATAATTGAAATTTTGCCAAGAATTTTATTAAAATTTTTGAAAATAATTGAATTTCGGAGTAGTTCCAGCTCTGATATGGATTAATGTTAAAATTACTATTATTATAATTAATAATATTTATTATCATCATAATTTCAAGATAATTGGATTTAAAAATAATTATATTTTCTCTTCTTCAAAATTATTAAAATTTATTATATATGAAAAAATTTAACATATATTGTTTTTGTTTTTTAAAAATAGTGCTAAAAAATTGTTAGTCAAATTTAAAATTAATTTTCGGAAAATTATAAAAACTAAGCCTAAAACAATGTTTTAATTCAATAAAATAGTAGGTATTAAAACTCCCAAATTCCATTGAATAATTAAAAAAACAAGTTTGAAAAATAATAAAAAAAAATAATTTGACAGAAAGAAGAGAAAGATGAATTGACGCACGTAGTGCCAACAAACATACCGGGGACGCCACATTGGATAATGTTGGCCTGTAATTTAGAAAGTATTTGTGTGCGCGCGTCTATTTATCCCCGTCTGTATCCGTAGTGTTTCGATTGTATTTCGTATTTGTGTCTTCGTCAGTGAGACTTCATCGTGTGATACGTTACTCTTTGAAGGCACGGAAGGCACGTAAGCACTTGACTTGACCACATTACACAGACGGTCAGTGTCAACTAGAATAGAGAAGAAGATTTTTTTCCAACAGTTTAAAATAAAGTCTCCCTTTAAAAATGGTCACAGTTAAAGGGCGTAAAACATCAAATAAGAATCCACCGATTCTCAGTCATGAATTTATCATTCAGAATCATGCTGACATTGTATCCTGTGTGGCTATGGTCTTCGTTGTGGGTCTCATGGTGCAGGTTAGTTAATTATCTCTCAAATATTACATCTCTTTTTAACAATTTATTGACAACTGTTTATTTTGTTTGAAAAGAATTTTCATTTCTTATTGCCAGAAGACTATTTTTGAGAATTTATCATAAATTGTCTTTCGACTTAATGTATTAGTGACCATATGTTACAGTACCACATCTTTGGTTCTGCTCAACCGGTTTATGAGATTATTTTCCATTTTTTCTCCTTTTATTCTCTATTTCGGCAGATTATCCTCTTCTCTGAATGTACAATATTTCAGTCCTTCATTTTTTCCAAACATTTTTTTTCAATAGGAACCCTTTTTTAAAAGTTGAAAATTTACAATACATATGTTATATTTCGATATTTTTTCAGTAGAGAAATTTTCGAATTTGTAATATTTCAATAATTTAATTTAATAAAATATAATAATTTTATCGTGTAAAATTCAGGTAACATCACCATGGGCCTATAATTTTATTGCAATTCATCACAATGCAACGACAGCAGTCCCAGAATCTCCAGATGGTCCCATTTTACCGTTAAAATATACAACTGGTTGGAAAGATGTTTGCGCTGTATTTTTCTACTTTCTTATAACAATTGTTATGCATGCCGTTATTCAAGAATATATTTTTGACGTAAGTATTTAATAATAAATTGTTAAAAATAAATCGATAAACAATGAATAAATAGTGTCCATGACAGTCTAATTGGATTATTGGAAAGTTTACTTGAAAGTCAATAATATTTGTAACGCTTAATAAAAATGTCAACTTTTTTTTATTTCAGAAAATCTCCAAACGTTTTCATTTAAGCAAGAGTAAACATTCGAAATTTAATGAATCCTGTCAATTAATTACATTTTACGTATTGTCTGCTGCTTGGGGTATCGACATTATAATGAGGTTTGATATTTCAGTTTTATATAATATTTTCAAGAGTTCAATTAATACGAATTCAATCAATTTTAAACGAAAGAGTTCCAATAAATAATAATAAATTTGACTAGAGAAAACTAATCAGTTTTGAAGAACTTCAACCACTAATAATAAAATTTCACTTCACTATAATTTTTGAACGTTCAAATAAACGAATTTTTTTTCTATTTACATTTTTTTAAATTATTACATTAAATTGAAAAAATAATGTAAATTAAACATTTTCATTTATTTACTTCGAAATTAATTTTTTAATGTACAAAATAATATTTTTCAACAAAATACCTACGAATTAAAAAAAATAAAAATATCGTCGTTCATTTGAACGTTTAAAACATTAGTTAAAAAAAATTATATAATTTACAAAAATTTTAATAACATTCATCACAAGAATTCAATTAATTTTACAAGTAATAAAATTTTTCACATGAATTCAATTATTTACAAAAATGTAATAAAATTTGTTGTAAGAATTCAATTATTTTCATAAATAATACAATTTTTCATAGAATCAATTACATTTCATAAATAATGAAATTCATCGTTGAAATTCAAATCTTTTCAAAATCTACTATTTTAATAAAATTTCTCAAAAGAATTCAATTGTAAAAAAAATATAATAAAATTCGTTCCAAGAATTCAATTATTTTCATAAATAATTCAATTCTTCACAGGATTTCAATTATTTAAAAAAATGCAATAAAAATTCATTGCAAGAATTCAATTATTATTCTCCTTAATAATAAAATTCTTCACAGACTTTCAATTATTTTTAATGCAATTTTAAGTAAATTCTTCGAAAATTTGTATTATTTTTAAAAATTGTATTAAAATTCTTTGAAATAATTAAATTATTAATTATTTTTAATAATTTTTGCAAAAGTTCCTTAAGAATTTTCTAATCCACTTGTTTACAATTTAATTTTATAAAATTTCGATTATTCGGAAATTCTTCAATTAAATATTTAAAAAATAAAAACTTGAAATAATTTAAAAAAAATTCAATTAAACTTTTCAAAAAAATAATTATTATCTGAAATTTTAACTAAAATTAATTTTTAAATCAATCTTTATTGGAAAATTCTACGAGAATTCAATTATTTTAAATATAAAAATAAATAATTTATTGAATAAATGAATTTTTCTCAAAATGGAATTCTCAATAAAGAATTTTATCAACAAATTTTTAAAGAATTGAATTATTTCGAAGGAAGAATTTTAATGACATTTTCAAGAATAATTATAATAATTACAAGATATTGAAAATTTTTGAAAATAATTGAAATTTTGCCAAGAATTTTATTAAAATTTTTTTAAACAATTGAATTTTGGAGAAGAATTTTATTATGTTTAAAGATAATTGAAATTTTGACTATAGAATTTCTTTTAATTTTTGAACATAATTGGATTTCTGAGAAGAATTTGTATTCTTTGAATTTTCACTCATTAGCAAATTGGATAATTTTCAGAGACAATCTTTTGTTGAACATCTCTTCTCTATGGGAAAGCTATCCAGGAGTTATGTCATTTTCTCTAAAATTATTCTTCATCGGTCAATTGGCTTATTGGCTTCATAGCTATCCTGAACTCTACTTCCAACGGGCGAAAAAAGAAGAAATTTTACCAAGAATTGTTTTAGCAACTTTTGGACTTTTCTTTTCCGCTGCCGCTTATGTTCTCAAGTATGTAATTAATGCAATAAAAGAAAAAGTTAATTTAATTTAATTTAATTAAAAAGAATTTAATTTTTGACTATCATTATTAATAATTTTAATTTCATTTACAGCTTCCAACATGTAGGTGTAATTCTCTTCGTACTACACTATGTAGGAGAAGCTCTTCAACATGGAGCTCGTCTCATACATTTTGTGTCGCACAACGAAAAAACAACGCAATGTAAGTTACCAAGACGAACAATATTTTATTTTTTAATTACTAAACTAATAGCTAATAATTCTGTGTTATTTGAATATTTTTCAGTGGCATTCTTAGTGGCAAATGCGGCCTTTATTTTCGCAAGACTCGCAACTGTGGCTTTAAGTGGTCTAGTATTTTTCTATGGACTAGGACAAATTGAAAGGTCACTTGATTTCGCAACTGGAAAGTTTAATATTCAAGCAGTGCAATATGGAGCTCTTGGTGCAATTTTACTTTTCCAAGCCTACCTCTTTTACAGTTTTATCAAAAGACAAATGAAATTCACACGTGAAAATAAGACGCCTGTTGTCTCGAAAGCTAAATCAAAACAAAAGCCAAGGAAGAAGGATGCGAAAGATGGTAAGTTTAAATATTTAATAACTATTTTATTACTAATTTAATCACAATTTCATTAAAGTAATAAAAACAAAATCTTTCTTTTTTCTAAAGGCAAAAAGTCCGAGGACGATGACTTGCCAGAAGTTGATCAAGCAACAAAGAAAAATTTGAGAACCCGATATTCAGCGAAAGCAAAATAAATGTTATGGTGATATTAACTGTAGTTTTTAAAGGCTGACGACTCTATAAATATATAGTTTATAAACCAGCTGCAGGTCCTGATGGATAAAAAGTACAAAGTCTCAGGACGAAATCAAATTATTTTTTTTTATATATATAAATATTATTAGATTCCTTGACGCAAATTTAAAAAAAAATGTATAATATCACGCAAGCAGCTGTACAATGAAAAGATGAGTCTAATTTTAAATCTCAGGAAGAAAAGAAAGAAGAAGAAGAAGAAGAAGAAGAAGAAGAAGAAAAATTGCACTCTTATACGCAAGTGCTAATTTTGTATTTTAACGATGATAATTATTGGAAAGGGAGTGAAATTTTTATAAAGCTTGACGCAATAAGAAAAAAAAGGAAGATTTTTTATCAAAACAAAAAAGAAATGAGTTCTTTCGAAGAGAAGGAATTTTTTTTATAGAAAGTTACAATGATTATAAATAGTTTTGAGAGGCGAGATTTTTTTTATATGTTATAAAGAAATTTTTGAAAGAAAAAATAATTCAGAAAAGAGTGTGTATTATGAGGATTTAGATTGAAACTATATATTATACAAAACAATTTATATTTTTGTCTACAGATAATGTTTAGACTTGAGATACTTGAGAGATTGTATTATAAGATTAAATTATTTAAATAATTTTAGACGAATTTAGCAAATGAGAGCTATTGATTGAAAGAGCTGATTAAATTAGTCAATTTTTTTATTTTTATTCAATTATTTTCAATGATGATGTATTTCTCTATTCAATGTAAGTCTAGTTTTTAAAATAAAACTTTTATCCTGGTTGGAACAAATTTATATTTTTTCCCTGCTTTATTAATTATTAATGCAAAAAAACCTGAAGTTCTGAACGTTTTATTTATTTCTTCTTTAAATTTAATTTTTATTACAATAATTTTGCATCACAAAAAAATTAATTATAAATTAAATGTAAAATTTAAGTTTCTAATTTTTATTGCAATAACAGGGTTGCCACAAAAAATTAATTTTATTTTTCCCTGATTTCCAGACAAAATTTTGACTTTTTCTCTGACCCTATAGAATATTCTGATTCACTCTAAAAATTATTAGATACTCAAAAAAACATTCTATTTACATTCACTTACAAATTTCTTAAATTGTAAAATTATTCGGAAACATCAATAACTAAATTTTTAAATAAGTATTTAATTATTATTTTTCCATAGGAATTAAAATTCTTCAGAACATTTAAATTCAAACGTTATTAAAATTCAACAACTTATAATAAGAATATTATTATTTTACTTTCCGTGACTTTTCCCTGAATTCCCTGATTTTCCTGACCTGTGGCAACCCTGAATAATTTATGAAAATATTTTATTCATTAAACGTTCAAAACTTGTAGACTATAAAAAATTAGTTAACAATAATAAAAAATTGTGATATTAAAAATCAATTTTTTAAACTCAATATCCTCAATATTTGATAAGAACGACAACCACCTGACCAACTGTTGTCCTACTGGTCCTACTGACATAAGATAAATTTAATTCCTATTTTGACATAAATAGTTTAAAGATTGTTGCTCTTCAATTATATAAATCATATAAATTGTTTATAATATCTAAAAATTATAAAAAACAACTTTTTTCTTTTTTATTACTTTTTGTTTATTTATTTTCCCCGTTTTTAATTTAATTTCTAAATTCTTTTGAAAACATAAGTTTATTAAACAATAAAAATTGTTTTTAAATTTTATTCAAAAGAAAGTTGAGTAATTTTGTTTCATTCTTTTTTTTCGCAGAAATATTATTTATTTTTATAAACAAGAGTTTTATATGTTTATATGTATAAGAAGAAGCTCAATGCGAGATTGTATTGAAATGAAAAGTCTCCTGGGGGCTAAAGGCAGAGGCTGAAATAAAAGCCGTTGACTATAGAGTGAACTATTTCGTTGAACAATAGAGCAATTATTGTGCATTTTTCTCCAACAAATACTCTTCACGTATATATATACATATAGGTATATAAAAATATAAATAACTTATCCTTCAAATTTATGGAAATTAGATTTTCAAATCCAGATGATATTATGGAAAAAAAGAAAAAAAAAAGAAATAAATCGAAAAGTTTAAAACTAAAAGAATTTTTTGATACTCTTTCTTCTGTATTTCGTTTAACGCATTAAATTTAAAAGTTAAATTTTTGTTTACTAAAGTTACTTATTCAAGTTTTTTCCTTTTTATATTACTCTCTAAATTTTTAAACACCCATCTGTGTCGTTTTGTGAAATCCTTCAAATGATATATAGTATTGTCGCCCTTAAGTACCTCATAAAATGAAGGTATTTAAATAAACTTTCGAGATGTATTACTTTTTTATGGTGTTCCGAGAGTAATAAAAAATAATAAAAACACAATACTTCATGAGAAAACAATTAAGTATCAAACTTCCTGTTCATATTTCTCTTCACCAATCATAGAATAAGATTCATTATTATTTCTCCAATTAAATTAATAACTAAAGTAACTAAATTGAAAATTGTTTTCTATTTAAAAATAATTGTATTTATTTTGAAATTAAAATACTTTAATAGAGTGTTTTTTACGCTTTAAATTTTTGCGAAAATATTAAAAGTCTTTTAAAACGAATTTAATATGTAGATGAAATTTTTATGTTTTAATTAAAATAATATTTATGATATAAATTCATGGTTGAGAACAAATTTCAAGCACGATACTAAGAGAATTTTACTCCGTCGTCCCTTTCTTTGCTCAAAAGTAAACATACCTTCTAATATGCATAAAAGACTATTATAATAAACCGTATGGACTACATCAAGGGACGCATTTCAATTTTATTTTTGTAAAGATTTAGTCACTTACAAATAATTGTTTTCTACCCTTTTTTTTAAATGAAATAACAAGGATTTTGTATAACAAAAATATTCCTTTTTTTAGAGCTCAAAAATTTAATTCTAAAAAGACTTACTATTTGCTTTTTGTTGCCTGTAACAGTTTTGTCGACTCTGAAAAAGAAAAAAAATTATTTATTAAAAACAATTTCTTTTTAATAATATAATAAATATAATAATAAAGATACAATATTTACAATTGATAATTATTTCAGAAAAGACGTGAATAATTCATTATTTTTGTCACTTTGGACTTTGTTAACAATTTTTAAGATAAAGAAACCAGATTTTAGGTTATGTTATTATTTAAATATTTTTTAATTTCAACAAGTCTTAATTTTTTTAATATAACAAATTATAATTTTACAATTCTATGAATATTGCAGCAATATTAAAAATATTATTTCAATATTTTAATATTACAGAAAATAATACTATCAACATTGATAAAATATTGTCATTGCGGTCATTATCAAGAAAGTTGTTAAAGTGGCAAAAATAAAATTATTTACCCATCTTTTATGACAAAAAAAGAGAAAATATAGAGATGGATTCACTTCTGAATAAGACTATCCTTATTTCAATTGTTTCACTCAAGAATAAACATAATGCGTAATAAACAAACAGTACATATATGGCAAAAGTAAACAATAAAGTATATTTACAGGCAAATGTTCCAATGGCAAGTGATACGATGTAATTTTTTAATCACAATTGGAAAAAATCACTAAATCACTCACTTCGAAGCACTATTTCTGAATCGATCAATTTTCATTTATCTAAATCATTCACATATTCCACGATTGTTGCATAAAATTATAACGGACATTTAACGACAAAAATGCTAGTGTAGGTTATCCGATTTATCACGAACCGATTCCAAAAGTAATTTATACCGCAAACAACGCGATGAACAACAACCGAATAATAATTCACACTATTCCCACTAATGATTGAAAACGATTTTGCTAATAATTACACGATTTGACAAAAATAAAATACATTTTTTTGTGAAAATAGTCACGGAATTCCGGAGCAACATTACTAATTCGCGCGCGAAAATTTTTTTACTAAAGGTGCATTTCACACTGTAAAGAGAAGGGGGAAGTTTCCGAGTTTGTGATTGGTGGATCGAATTTTCTTCTACATATTGACGTAAATGTTAGAAAAATTTCGCGCGTTTTTTTTACAATTGTTGTTGTATTAATTAATTATGCCGTTATTCATTATTCATCAGCTAGTGATTATTTTAAGATATTAAAATTATTGTTACGTATTTAGGAATTATAAAGTTAATTAGTCTCTAATTATTCATATATTTGACAATTGTTAAATAATATAACGAAGGAAGGAAAAAAGCTGTGTAATTTAGGTTGTCCGATTTAGAATTCAACTGTAAAGTAATTAATCGCGATCAACTCAATGAAAACCGACCAAATAATAAAGCACACTATATTCCCGGAAACAGTTAAACATAGATTTAATAAATAATTACACGATTTTGCAATAAATAAAACGCATTTTTTTGAGAAAAATTGTCACTAAAATTGGAGGGACACTACTGATGCGCCGGAGAAAAATTGTACTAAAACTGCGCATACGTTCATACTGTAGGAGAAGTTTCTGATTGGTGGATCAATTTTATTGTCTACTATTAGTTGCAAATAATTAAAAATTGTCGCGCTTTTTTATTGTTACGTTATATTGATTAACTATCTACAGATTGTGATTAATAAAATCACAACAAACGAAACAAAAAATCTATGTAATTTATAGGTTATGTGATTCGCCACCCGACTCCAAAGGTAATTTAACGCGAATAATGCTACAAAAACCGACCGAGTAATAATGCACACTATTCGCGACAACAATTCAATGTAGATTTAACCAATAATTATACGATTTATGGCAAATAAAATGCATTTTTTTGGAAAAATAGTCACGAAATGACGGAGATACATTACCGATGCGCGCGCAACGAATAATGAAATTATACTAAAGCTACATTTGCGTTCACACTGCTAGGTGAGGTAAGGGTAGTTCTCTCGATTCTGATTGGTGGACTAATTTTCCTTCAACAATTAGTTGTAACTAATAGAAAACTCTTGTGTTTATTATTGTTTATTAGAATATCGATTGTTTCGGCAGTTATTCGACATTTACCAACTTGATTACTTTCTCAAATGAAAAATAATAATTCCTACATATTTAGAAGTGATAAAATTAGTGAATAATGACAGGACATGATTTTCCGACATTCTGATTGGAGAAGAGGTTATTTTCGTGTGAGTAAATTTTGATATATCGATTTTTTTTATATATAAAATTTAGATTTCAATATTGCTCACAAAAAATATACAAAAAAAAAACGGAAAATAGCAATGTAGAATTCAGAACGGAACGTAGATTTCACTATTCAACGAGATGACATACTTTTTTCTGAGTGTTCGTGTCGGATACAAAAAGAACCGGAAGTTGCAAATCGAATACCGAATTCACTGTTGATTGATCGATTCGGAACTTTTTTTTGTATAATAAATATTACCAGATTCGGGAGAAATATACTTGAAATCCTTAAAATTATTATTTATTGGCACTAATTAATTTTTACTACCATGAAGTTGTCTGCACACAGACAATAAAGCTCAATTTTTTCCGCTCCTCTGATTGGAGGTCGATTGTTCGATAGTCAGTCTGCAACTTTTTCGCAGCTAACTTCTCTTCTATTGTGGAAATCTTGTGCGTCAACAGTTGGTTTGCCGTTTAATTATTGTTTGAATCTTCATTAAGCACAGTTTAATTACTTGTTCTGTTTGCGATTAACGATTAATGTTTCGAACACTTATTCTCTCTGCGATTAGAAATTACTCAAGCGTTCAGTTCGTGTGTTACAATTAATCGCATTTCGAGGCACTACGTGACCCTTTATTATTTTACCTATAGAGAGACTAGAGAGAAAATACGGCAATTCTTTACTTTAATTTGGTATTAATTTTTGTTGCTCTGCTGTAAATAAGAGTAGAAAATTCGTTAAATACTTAATCAGAGTTTCGACAAAAGAAAAGATAGATCGATATTGATTGTAGAAAATGGTAAGTATAACCTTAAATAATAAAAATGTGCTTCGAAAATGTTTTTTGTTTTTTACCAATGAGCGGCCATGTTTGATATAAGATTTATATTTTTGTCTAAAAAAATAGGATTTTTTGTTTCAGAATTTTGTAATTGTTTTACTTTTTAATTTTAGGAACAAATAGAAGGCAAATACAGTTTCTTGAGAGAGTTTTCCGAAATGTATATCTTGATATTTTGTCAAAAATCAGAGAAGGAAAAAAATGATTTTAATTAAAACACGTGCAATGCCAGGATGAGTTGTATTTTTTTACGGAATCACAAATCGGGAGATAATATGGAATTTTACAACTGTCTCCATTAGGTTCGTATATTATTTTTTGTCGCATTTACTTTCCTCGCTTGTTTGCATTAATTTTAACGAAAATGTTTTTTATAATTTTTTTTCTACTTTATATTCTTATTATTGCTTTTCTTATTATTATTATTATTACTATTCCTATTATTTATTATTACCATCAGTTTTATTTATCGTTATTATTACAATTATTTATTATTATTATTATTTTATTCTCTTGATTTTAAAAATTAAATTTAAATATTTTTGAAAGTATGTAAATTTTTCTATTTTGAAAAAATGGACAAAATTCAAAAAACAATTTAACTGTTATTTACGCAAGAATGTGAGATAATTTTTCATTTGAATTTTGAAAACTTAATTTTTTTCTCCATGGAGTGCAATTCTAATTTTTTAGTATTTTGAAAACGTATCTCTTGTATATTTTATTATTTATTTTTCATTTGATTCGGTATAAAAATTCTGTTATATGATTCGATTGGTATATAGTAAATTTGAAACTCGATTTATTAAATAAATTTCTCGGAACATTGGAATGAATATTCAAAAAAAGGAAAAAAATTTGAAGGGAAAATATTGAAATGTAATTTTTTTTGTAAATATTTTTTTTCTGTCCTCTGACAATTTTATGATAATTTTCAACAATGTGGTGTGATGGATAGGTGAATAATTGTTTTTTAAGTAGGCTTATGGATTCATTATATTGCTACCTGCTGGCACGATGTACCATAATGTATTGATTGGAAGCTTGGCTACAGGTGGCTTTCTAGCGCTTGCGCTATACTTTTCGAAGATATGAACACGCTTTCGTTGACTTACTAAAATCCTCCCACGAGGCTGAGCAATTATTTGCATCACTAGTGACCCAGTCTCATTGGGTTATCTCTTCCTTCAGAGAATTTCATTTCAACATCGCACTATTTTCAAGAAATGAATTCTTTCCCTGTCTCTTTCTCATTTTCAAAGAGAGAACATCCTTTTTCAAGCACCTGCTTTTTCAATCTTTCCATTAGGAGTATAAAATTTACTTATTTAAAGTATTTCTTCACTTTCGAGAGAAAATATATTTTTTATAAAAATTTTCATTATTTTTAATTGTTTCACTTTGGTATTAACATTGATAAAATCACGTTTCATGGGAATAAGATTCAGAAAGTCTGATCCGGATTCTCAGTAGTTGAAATCGAGTTTAGTCAGACACTTTCCGTCTCGAATTATTGGATACTAATAACACCTATATTCTTTTTCTCCAAAACTAAATTGGTATTTTTTTCACTTTTGGAAATTAAATTCTACATTTTTTTCTAATAATTTATTAACTTGGTTAATTCGTAATCAATATTTATTTCTATACTTGTTTTCTTCAGACGTCAGTAGTTTAATTTTCCCCAATATTCTTATAAGCATAATTCGATATAAGCTCAGATGAAAAATACTTGTCATTAATCTTTGCTGAGAAAATGTTTACCTCAAAAAATGGTTTTTAATCCACAAGCAATGCTTTTTAGATGTTTACTATTTTTAATAATAAATATTATTTATTCATCATTTACAATAATTATAATTTACAAGTAAAATTCCATAAGTGAATTATTAAAGTAAGTAAATAAATTATTAAATTATTAAAACTCACATAAAATTTATTAATTCATTTAAATTTATTTAAAATTATTAATAGGTCAAGTAATATTTTTTTAAGTTTAAAATTATTTTCAACCATTCCTTTTCACCATTATTGTTTTTATTATAATTAACTTTAGTAACAGGATAATTAACAATAAAACAATTTGAAAAAATGTCAAGAACTTAAAAAAAGTAGTTGTCTTGAACTTTTCTTTGTTAAATATTTATTAAACGTAAAATAATGATACTTTAAGTATGAAAATGAATTTAATTTAGTAAATGGACATTTTCGCACAACAAGATTACGACATACACTGAAAAGTGTACATACATAGTGAAACATTTCATGGGAAAGTGTAAAGATAACGAACATTTTGATATCGTGCTTTAGTTATATAGTGTGTCTGCGTGATTTCCACGGTTAATTAATGTCCCTACTTCTACATTTCCTCGCCTGAATGTTGTGCTTAAACTTGCCTAGTGAACTCGTCGACGTGTAATTGATGCGTTTTGACGTCATGCGAACTGGAAATTGCAAAAACTTCATTTAAGAGAAAAATCATTAAAAAATTTATGTGATTATTGATGTCGAATTTAAAAAGAAAAATAATTATTCACATTCTCGGAGTAAATTTTAGTTTTTAGAAAAAGAGTTCAAAATAATAGTAATAATGATAATATTCATATTAAGAAAATAATAATTAAAATAATATTACATAATAATAACTAATATACAAATTTTTGTATTTCCAGATTTTCCAGAATTACTGAACGTTCAAATGAACGAAATATTTTCAGAAATTACCGACTATATTAAAAATAAAAAACCTAATTTATACATTTTGAAAATAAATTAATTTTTCATGCGGGACGCAATATTAGAATAAAATTTTAATTTGAAAGAGAGAGAAAAAATTCCATTTATTTGAACGTTCAGAACTTTAGGGGCATATTTCCAGTAAATGGTATTCAATTAACTCAAATAATTATTTCGATTATATCAGATTATTTAAATCAAAATAAATTTTTTTACCAATTGATAAGGAGTATTTACTTAAATTCGAAAAATAAAGACAATAATATTATTATTAGCTATGGGGGTGAATTTTTTCTTTTATTTTATCAAATAAGTAGGTTCAATTTGAATAATTTTTCTTAAATAATGAAACAGAGTTATTTCGGAAAGAAAATTTGTTCTATTTTTTCTATCTCCATAATACAAAAATAAAAAGTTTTTGGTGCTTAAAGAAAATTGTTGTGTATAAAAAATGCACTTTTACTTTAATTATATTGAAATTATATAATTATATATTTGAAAAGAAAATGTTGGCTAAATTAAATTAAAATAGAGTGTTGTTCAATTTGATTTAATGAATTTTATGAATAAACTATTCCATTGTTCACATTTCCATTATACTTGCATGCTTGAACTTTTCCAATTATTATAATTTGGCGTTAGGGGGGGAGATAAACGATTGTTTGTATCAAAATAAATCGATTGGCCTATATATTTCGACAGAGAATAGATATTTTTCTTTTGTTGACTATTTTTTCTCTTATTGCTTTATTTTACGTTTTATCGAAAAAAATTTCTTTTTTCAAAAATACTTATTTATTTTACGATTTTACCAATGTTATCTATTTTTAATAAATTATTTATTTCTTGTGTAAACGGACTTGGAAAATAATACACAAATAATACAATTAGTGTTAATTTATAATTTTTGTCAATTTTACTAAATTTTTTTTTGTAGTTTTTTATAATTTTTTATTTTATGCTCGTGAGTTATATTTAAATTAACATTTTCTTTCTGTTCATTTCAAAAAAGTAATTTTCTGTGAGATTATTTATTTTAATATCGTTATAGTTTTTTTTTCGGATAGTTTCTGTTGGAAAGGTCATAAATTACAAAATTTTAATAAACTAAAGAGTTTCTTGAAAAATGTAAACTGTGAATAGAGGGGAATTTTTAATACGATTCTTTTGATTATAGTAAATTACTTTACGGTGACAATGCAATTTACATTTTTCTTCAGACTAATGTAATTCATCGTCTGTATAATGTGAATAGCGCGACAGTTGTTTATAATGGGAGAAAAAAGACAATTATTTCTTAAATAATACCTAATCAATTTTGTTATTTTTGAATCAAATTATATAAATTGAGATACAATTTTTTTTTGGTAATTAAAATACGAATTTTTTGATTAATTTTATTTCTTACCCTGTAAAATAAAAAAATTTATTATTAATTTATTAATTTTATTTAATTTAATTATTATTTATTTGTTTCAATTTTTTTTCATAGGAAGAAAAAGAAATAAATTCTTTATTCTCAAGTTGGAAAAAAATGCGTATTCGCAAATTTTCTTTGACATAAGTTTAATTCCTATCTTTGATGAGAGATAAAAGAGAAAGAGGATTACAATTGTCAGGGAAAGATCAGGTGATGTCTTTCTGGTTATGTGGGGAAAATATTTTTTTCTTTTTTTTTTTGGCATTCTATCTTTCTAATATATAGGCAGTAAGCTAGCAAAATTTATCCATGTTTTCTGTCTTGTTGTGACAAGCATTCCTGTTTCTTTTTACAGGGGAGAAAAAGAAAGAGAGAAAGAGAGGTTTTTTCTGGTCTTCAGTAAGTCACCCTTATATTTCCTCATGTTTTCCGGAAGGGATGATGGTAAAAGCGCTTGCGCCCCGGGAACCCTGAAGATTTTCACGAGGCTCGAAGCGGCTGGAGAACGACAGTCCTGCCGCACCACCAAAACGCGTCACACAGTTGTGAGTAATTTGAAAACAAAAATTTCCTATTCTCTAACTTTTCTTATTAATTATTAAACGAAGGTGTAGCAATTTTTTTTTATCTACTATAAATATTTCTTTCTTTTTTCTATATTTATTGAAAGAATTTCGCGATTTATCTCTTTGAAAGGAGAAATTTCTTTTATTATCCAAGTAATTATTGTTTCATTTTTCTTTTTTTTTTTTAATGAGAAAAATGTTTTTCAATGGTGAGGAAAATTCACCACAAGGATAAGTGAAAAACGTCTAAAAAATTAAGTTTTAAAAATAGTTCAGACTTTTTTAAAATTGTAAATAACATTATTTATTTTCTTTTTATTTTAAATTTGTAATAATTTTCCGTTTGAATTCTCTGAAAACGATGAAAAATTTATGGCACAGGCAAAAATCAAATTTACCTCGGTTACTTTTCGAGTTCGTATAAATGATTAACTAGTTTTTTAATAAAGCTCCTGGGATAAAAGTCATCTCTCAAATTTAAATAATGAAAATATATTTTCTCCCAAGTTGAGTAAATAGTTTTTTAAAATTCATTTTTTATAGAGAATATTTCTTTTTTTATATTTTCTTCTACAAATTTATTACAAGGATTGAAATTTATTTCTATTGAAATTTAAATTAGAACTAAAATCCATTACTAGAATTGAAATTTTCACTAAAGGAAAATGTATTTATTATTGAAATAAAATAAATTAAATAGTGTTTGCCAAAATTTATTTGGTTTAAATGATATATTTATAATAATAAAATAAATATTTATTCTATCAAAAATAATTTTTATTTCCATAATTTCATTTCCATGAAATTATACTTTGATAAAAATAATTAGAATTTACTGTAAAAATTCTAATTTTATTTTCTAATTAATTATTATTTTAACTGCACTAATTAAATCAAAATCGAGAACATAGATTTTTTTTAAAATTACTTTACAATAATTGTATGAAATTACAATATTATTTACACGAATGTAAATTTTATGTATCATAAAATTTACATTACAAGTGATACGTAATAAATTTAATTAATTTCAATTAATAATAATTAAAATTAATTTTCAAACTGGTTCATAATTTTAATAAAGTAATTAGGATAATGAGTTTATTTATTCGCTAAATTAAAGAAATCTATTAATTAACTAAATCGTAAATGAAAAATCAATAATTAATTATTGATAAATGGAAAAAAACAAAAAATTGAATAATAAGCGTTTATTTTACATCTTTAATATTAAGTTCTAAATTACTAATTAGAGATTAATGTATATATATATTTTATATATTGATAATTTGGTATTTGGTGTACATGTATGAATATTTCCATATAATACCCGCATTTAAGAGGATGAATTATTTTATATGAAAGCTCATTATTTGCAGAAAGGAAAATCTAATTAGTAAATGCTTCTTCTAAATATATGAATGGTAATTTTTCTTTGATTTTTCATTCTTTTTTTTGAAAATAAAATCTCAATGAAATTGTATATCTATACTTTATTTCTAATTTTCTAATTGGTTGCTATACAATGATCATAAAATTAAAAATTGTCATTATTTCATGACAGGATAATATATAATGTATGTGCGAGAAATAATTAATGCGTGTACTGAGATTTGACACTATACTGACAGAGAATGAAAAACATTTCTCTTTTGCTTGTGACATGAATTTATAACAAGCCAGCTAAATTGCTGCAATTAATTTGTAAGCTAAATCGGATCATAGTGGAATGTTGTTAGTGCTTTTAATTGCATCCTTCTTTATAACAATTAAACAAATATAAAGTGTCTATCTTTGATGCACGCGAGTATTATTCACTGTATTTATAATAACGCAATTAAAAAATATTTCCATTTTTTTGCACGTGGAATATTTTTTATTGTCAAATTAATTTTGCTCTTAACAATCCATCCTTGTTTTCTCGACTAAAACAATAATTATGGTAAAATAATAAAAATAATAATAATAATAATAATAATATTAAAATTCTGAATTTGATAGTCTCCCATTTTTGAATAGTTTTAATTTTCAAATTTAATAATAATAATAATAAATAAACAGTTAATAAAAGCCGGTAGCAGTTTTATAGAAAATAAAAATACCAAAACTACTTTAAAATCTGTATTTAAAAGCTTAATATAGAATTGGAATTTTTTTTCTCTCAAATAAATCTTATGGGTTTGGCACTTTTATAGAGAATTAAAATAAATTTATTGTACAATGGCGAATATAATATAGAATATGGTGAGAGAATTGATTAAATACCTATATAAAGCAAAGAAAACTGAAAAATTAATAAAAAAGAATATTTTATATTGAAAATTTATAATCAATTAAAAAAAAAATTGGAAATTTCACGTTCATTTGCAATATATTATCGTGGTATTTATTTTACTTTATTCTATTTTTTATTTACTTTCAAAGAGAAAATAGTACAAAAATTAAACGCGAAATTTATATTTTATTTTGAAATAGAAAATTTTCATGAGCGAAGAACATGCGTGGAGAGAGAATTTTTTTAATGGAATTTTCCGCAAGAAACGAAATTAAATTTTAGAAATATGTTTCATATTTATTTGGAAAAATAAGTAAATTACAAACTAGATGGAAAATATATTTTTTTTAATTTGATTTTACATTTTGCATATATACATATGTACAAACGTATTGTTTATTATTTATTTATTTATTTTGAAAGAGAAAAATTTAATAAATCAATTGATTTTTATGGTACTAAAAATGAAAATAGAATATTTTTACAAACAGTTTATTTATATCTTTATTTTTTATTTAATAAACAAAACTCTCGACCTGTAAATAAATTTTTAAAAAAATTTTCTATTTAAAGATTATAATTTTACGAAAATATTTTTACTATTTCCTTTTTATTGGCGCAAAGGGTTGATTTTCAAAATAAAATATAACATAATTTTTCCATGATTAATGCTTTAATTTTTGTTTTGGTTCTCGCTTAGAGCTTTTAAGCTAAAAATAGAGAAATTATAAATCTAAAAGAAAAATAAAAATTGGCACGATAAAAAATTGTTTATTATCGAAGTAAATATATATTTAGAATAAATGTATTACGCTTCCATAATTAGGTCAGGGTATATTCCCATGGATTCTATACATGAACGTTATACTCAAATTGTGTTCTTCGATTAAGAGTTATTTTAAACTAAAAAGAGAATTTCACTGGATTTTTATAAATTTTATTTGTTTATTTATAAATACGTCAATTGTATTTTTCACATTTTAATTTATTTTTTTGGAAGAAAAATATTGTGAGACTACTGCAGTGAAATATAAGAAAATATAAAAACTATAGAGTATAATTAAAAAAATGAAATGAACACTTTTTATATATTGTTTAAATTAAATGTTTTGACAATTTTCAAAATATTTTATAAACAAATATGAAGAAACAATTTTTGCTTGGATTGTTATCGTAAAAAAACACCTTTTATTCAGTTTGAAACAATATTTTCATATAGTCGGTACAACAACAGCATTGTTGGCAAATCTTTATCAACATAGATATATAGAGGACCGTAAAGCGATAGATGTTTCACGTATATGAGAGTTTTTCTACTTTACTGTCACGATAAAATGTCTTGCTAATCCTAAAATATTGACAATTTTGTCATGAAAAATTTTATATTCTGAAAATCCTTGTAATAATTATCATAATACAGTTCTGATAAGAGAAAAAGAATTTTTTCCTTCTTAATATGAAAGAAAGGAAAAGATGTTGAGAAAAAATGGTAAAATCTTGAAACTTTATTAAAATTTTCATACTGAATTTTTTTTATTCATTTTCTTTAATATTTTTTACTTGAAAAAACCTTAAATTAAATGTAACGTAACATTTTTCAATTTAAGTAACTAATATAGCTCTAAATCTGAATTAATCAAAAATAACTATTTCGTAATTAATTAATTATAATTATAATTATTATAATAACTAATTATTAGTCAAAATATTAGTTAAACTTTTTGTTTCAACAATAATTGTCAAAGAAAAATAATTAATTGTTAATAAAAAATACCTTAAAAGGTTTCAATTTGAAATTTTAGAAAATATAATTTTTTAATGAATTTAAATAGAAATTTTAAGAACATGTTTGAAAATTAAAAAAAATTCTCGTCAAAATTTCAATTATCTTTATAAATAATAAAATTCTTCTCCAAAATTCAATTATTTTCAAAAAATGTAATAAAATTCTTGTCAAAATTTCAATTCAATTATTTTTAAAAATTTCCCTCATTTCAATTATTTTTATTAAATTTTCCAAAAGAATTAAATTATTTAAACAAAATTTTAATAAAAATTTCACAGGAATTTAATTACTTATCAATTTTTTATAAATTTCTACGAACCAATTTAATTATTTTTAATCTTTGAATAAAGTTTCTCGAAAGAATTCAAATAATATATTGAGAGAATTGAAAAAAATAGTTGACAAATTTAATTATTTCGAAAAATTTAAATAAAATTCTTTTAAAAATTCTATTATTTAAAAAAATTTTTGCCAAAATTCTTTACAGGGTTTAGTTAATAGAATTGCAATTTTAATAAAATTTTCCTATACAATTCAATTATTTTCAATACAATTCTTCTTAAAAATTCAATTATTTTCACAAATAATACATTTTTTTGTGGGAATCCAATTATTTAAAAAACATTTGAATAAAATTCTTTGCAAGAAATCAATTATTTTCAAAAATAAATATTTTCACAGAAATTCAATTATTTAAAAAAAAGTTTTGATAAAATTCTTTGTCAGGTTTAAATTATTTTCAATTATTTTCATAAATAACAAAACTTATCGCAGAATTTCAATTTTTTTTAATACAATTTTAAATAAAATGATAGAAAGTTGCATTAATTCTTAAATTTTTTTTTAAATTCGTCGAAAGAATTCAATTATTTTTAAAAATTTTGATGAAATTCTTCATCAAAATTTAATTTTAAGAAA